GTTTTATTGTGGTGGAGGTTTTTTTTTTGGTTTGTGTATTTTGTTTGGTTTATGGTCTTTTTTTTTTCCACTTGTTGGTTTGTTTTCCCTTGGAATCTATTGGCGCTGCTTGTTTCCAAGCAATGTTTCATTTCCATCTGGCCGTGTAAAACTAGCTGGGCACAAAACTTTCCAAAATTACCTGAATTTCCTGCCAGCAGAATACTTTTTTCTATTTCCCCTTTAAGCCTTGATCTGCGCTATTCCACTACGAGAAATATAGTGGTTTTCCACTTAAAATGAAAAATGTGTGTTCCATTTTAAAACGTCTTTACTCTTTGTCATAAATAACTCCAGTAATTCTATTTCTAGGAAGATTTTCAGATATTTATTCTTTACATGCATATAAAATAAATCTTTAATTTCCTTCTTCAGAGTAAAATTTAGTTTTTTAACCAAAACTTAAGATGGTCTAGGTTATATTTCACACTGTTCTTTGATTTTTCAGACTTTTAAGGCAGCTTGCTGGTAATTTTTATTTATTTATTTATGGAACAAGACTTGTTTCATATGCTATATTTCCAGTAAGTTTGCTCCTATAAAACAGTGTGTGGCTTGAAATTATATTGGGTCTTCTGGGTTTGTTGGGTTACTATTTCCTAATTACAAAGCAAATGTGTAGCAGTATGAGACGGTCAATGTGATCCATCTCTCGGTAGCTGCTAGAGGGCAGCAGTATCCATTTAAAAACACCATTAACAGTTTCTTGGGCTACTGAACCCTCTCCTACTGCTGTGTCCCAGCATCATTTTACTCACTGAAGCTTTCTCATGATTTAGGTGATGTCTGATCTGCCTGCACTCATTGCTTTTTAGTGTTAGTGGGAGAAAATAGAAGTGAAATAGATATTATGCAAAGGAATTCCAGGGAGCATCACTGTCGAAATGAATGTTGTTTCTCTAATGGGGAAACAGGCCTAGCTGATGGAATGATTTCTTTTTTTTTTTTTAGAGATCATCCTTTTTTTTTTTTCTACTCCTATCGGGTTTGCTTTAGGCTGAGAAGTAAATTATCCTGAGTTTTTATATATGTTTTGTTGTGCCTGAACCTTTTTGTCATTGCGTAATATTCGAATTAGCCTCAAAGCATCACACCTTGCCTTTCCAACGAGAGAAGTATTTTTTGGGGGTAAAATTCTCAACTGACTTCAAGGATGATCTGTTCCCCCATTGACATTGCTACAGTTGGTGTGATTGAGATGAGAGATGAGCAGGTTCAGACCTTATGTTCAGAAAAGCCTGGGTGCACGTGCTGAAAAGTTGTTGATTCAGTTGCCTTCACTAGGAAATGGCTGCTAAAAAGCCTTTTTTTTTTTTTTTAATTGATGTGGCTTCTTCAGAAAATTATCCATTTCTGTCACACTTCAAAGAAGATTATAAACAAAAATCCTTTTTTTAGACTGGTTCATCTCTAAAATCACTAGGCGCTTTTCAAAAGAAGTTATGTTTTTCTGCTTAGATTGTAGATTGTCTCTAATAAATAGCTTTTAATAGATCCAGACATCTTTCTGAGCTTGAATCCAGAAGGCTTCAGGCCTTGAATTCAAATGCAGTCAGTATTTTGCAGTCTGTGCTGTTCATCCCATCAGGAGAGACTCGTCCACCTGGGTTGTTTCTCATTCCCTGTCTGCTTTTTAACCTGTTCTGTTCACCTGGATGCAATGGGATGTCTTAAAGAAAACCAGAAACAGCCAGAACGATGCAGGGAGCTTCGTCAGCATCTTGGGAGTGGCTTGGGGGAAGCTCTGGGAGCCCCCAAAGGGGTCGTGGTGCCGTATCCACTCCCAGCATCTCTCTCCAGGCCATCCAGGTTCACCCCACCAAGCCCTCTGTGCTCCAGCTCCTGCTGTGGAGGTGACAGTCCAGCTGTTTGCTGGCACGGAGGTGTCATCCCGTCATTTGTATGATCCAGGAGCCGCGCTCCCGTGCCGACCCCGTTCCCCGCCTGCCTAGTTGAGATGTTACCCCTCTGACAGCCAGACAGGCGAGCGCCGCCGAGCCCCCGCCCCTCCACAATTATTTTCCCTCACAATTAACACCGGTACTAACTTGACACCTTTTCCTTGTTTGGCTTTTGTAAACCATCATCCCTTTCTCTATTAATTCCCGGCATTAATATTTTCTCTCGCCCGAGTGCTGCCGCTCACCCGTGAAACAGTTTGAACATTATGTGGCTGTCAAGATAGCGAGGGATTACCCAGCCTGCCTTGCTGGAGTAAGTGACACCACTGAGGCCCTGCTTTGAGATGTTTATTTTGAGAGTAAGCTGACAAGCATGAAGGCCTGATCCCAGAGTGGCAATCTTATTTAATTAAAGGCCTCTTTTTATTATAGCTTTCCGCCCATCTCTCACTGTTTTTTTTTTTTTTTAATATACAATATATATATTTTTAATATAAATATAGATTTATACAAATATATATTCCTTTCATATGCACATATATGTTTCTGTGTATAAATAGATGTAAATATGAGGGTAGAATTTATTAAAAAAAATATGAGAATGATTGCTAAAGCCTGGCTCACATGAGCAATGCTGGGCAGCCCTTCTCCCCCTTTTATTTTCCTTTACTGTATAACAACCTGGAAAGCTTTCAGAGCAATAATGCAATTGGGATGCTTACTTAGTTATAGCTTTCCTGCTTCTCAGCCTCGAAGAAGGGGCTTGGAGTTTTCTACTTGTGGGTATTGGACTGACTGTTTACTTTCTCTGTATCTCCTATTTTTCTCTCTCTTTTCAGGTTTTACCCTTGTTCATTGGTTTTCTCTGCCAAAAGCAGATGAGTTATGACCATAGACCACCTGCTTCCATCACCCTCTTAGTGCTTTCATTTCATCAGTTGCTTTCTCTGTCTTGGCCGGTTGCTATTTTGTGCACAGAATGGGTTGTGGAGACATTATTATAACTCTTATTTTTAATAATGCAGCTTTCTCCTGCTTACTCTGTAAATAAAAGTCAGGGGATTTTTTGCCCTTTTTTTTTTTTTAAATTTTTAAATGTTTCTGAAGGAGGTGCAAGAAGCTAACACCAAAGAGCTCAACGACGTTATTTCTTGATTCTGCATCCCCTGAGGGCTACTACCCACATTGTGGGGCTACAATTTATCTGTATTTTCCCATTCCTTGTGGAAATTGTGCTGTTTTTAAGATGTATGCTTTATGTAAGAGTATAATCATAGTTCTGAGAAGTTTTTAGGGAAAGGTCTAGCCCTAACCCATTGGAAACAATGAGAAGCTGCCCTCTGACTTCCCTGGCTTTGGACCAGGCCCTTATTATTATTCTGTCTTCAAGGAGAAGAAAAAGAAAATTCTCTTTAAGTTTGCAGCACTTTTTCACAAAAAAGGGGTTTATTTCAACAATTCTTATTTAGGAAAAGGATCAGCTGCAGATAGTATTTGAAAACCAACTGGTATTTTTCTTCTGTGAATGAAACACCCTTTAGGTGCAGAATGGGCAGGGTTCTACAACTCCTCTCTTTTGAAATTAAAGCAGAATCAAAACTGTTTACAATTCTTAAAAATAAGTTTGTACGTCCCACGAGCACAGTTCTTTTCAGTGCCATGTAATTCCAAATAGATGCTTATATATAATTATTTTTTCTTGAGTTGAAGTCTGTCTTCACATAACACTTATCAGAGCTTTATATATTTAAATATGGACTTTTCAAATTCTCACTGTTTATCACCAAATTACTGACAAGACTGAGTATTTCTCTTAGACTGGGTTATCCTGGACTGCCATGTGTTTGTCAGTCAGCATCTCAGTGGGAACCTGGGAGGACAGGTTGAGATTATTTCTGGCTGTGAAGTCTGGTGTAGGAATCAGTCTTTCCTACCAGGAGCCCTTGCTGCAGGCTGGGGGGCAGCCAGGACCATCACCTTATTCTTCCAATGAAACTGAACTGTTAAGAGGGAAGTTTAATATCATATTCAAAATACAAAGTATCACAGAAAAAATATTGGATATGACAGATGAGTGGCACCTAGGTTCAGTTAATTGTATGTGCTGCTACATCTCAATTTTATTTTTTCCCCTTATTTGCCACTTGTGATATATTTTTGCTAAGTCTGTATGAATAACTAAGTCAACCATCTAGTTAAATCCTCCCTGTACCTTGTTCCCCCTTTTGTCCCATGTCCTGCACGGTGCTTGGTGTTAGTGCAGATGCTGCCAGTTTAATAACAATAATAAAAAGTTGATTCCCTCTTCTGTTTTCCTTTGACAGCTGCAAGTCCTTCTATTGCTGTCGAGTGGCACGAGCCTCACGCTCTGTCCATGGACATCTGCTCCATAAAAATACGGGACATTATTACCGTGGCAAATTGTGCCACTTGGATTAAAAAATGTGTTACCTGAACACTGCCTGGTTTCACAGAGTCTGTTCTGTGTGTGGTTTTTATCCTGAGCTGATGAATAATGTCGGTGTTTTTTCACTGAGACTTCAAATTTGTTTTTAAGTAAATTGGCAAGTGACACCCAGTGATGAAATCCTGACGGGTATTTTAGCTATTGTTACTGGTTTCCTTGGAGCTCCTATCCCAGTTACGATGCTTTTGAGTTTTGGTCCTTTTATATATTCATAGTCACAGGATCACATTTTCTCTCTTCCACTGTGCCGTTAGTTGGCCTGTAAATAGTCCTTCATCACTGCTGCTGTTTGCTCTTTTCCCAAATTAAAATGTTAACTAAGTTACTAAAGAATAATTAATGTTCTTTACGAATAAAACAGCAGAGATTAGGCAAACTATGAAGATTTTTTTGTTGCCTGCTTTCACACAACTTTCTGGTTCATCTATAGATTTCCTGTATGAATGAACAATTTTTATATAGGTAATTAAGTATATGCATGTATATATAAAATAAATAATGACCATTTATTATTATTTACTATTTTATGAAAATATAATTTAATATTGTGGGGTTACATGGAGGTTTGCTAACCTATTTTTTTATTATCACAGGTACAAGTGACCCGTATGTGAAGTTTAAACTGAATGGGAAAACTCTCTACAAAAGTAAGGTTGTCTACAAGAACCTCAACCCAGTTTGGGATGAAACTGTTGTGCTGCCTGTACAGACTCTTGATCAAAAACTGTGGATCGAGGTAAGTATTGGTTTTAGATTTTTAAAAGATGGGTCAATATTTTTTTAAGCAATCATTTTCAACTTCAGAAACATTGATTTTTATTCGCTGTAGCAGCATAACATAAAACACAATCCAGTTTAAGAGTTTCAGCAATTTCAAATTAAAACGCACATATGTCTTTTCCAGATTTTACTTGCATGTTTTGCTTTTCGTCTGCAAAAACCTAAGTTGAAACAAAACTCCTTGACTGGATCTCTTTAAAGCTGTGGAGCTGAATTCTTCTCCCTCTTCCCGTGCTTGTGCAAACTCAGGAAAACCAAGAGTGGTTTCAGGAGCACGTTTTAAGAGTGTAATTTGGCTGGGTTGCACAGAATTATTACCTGGGATGCAGCCGTGACAAGTAGCAAAGCCTTTTCTCATTATGAGTAACGTTATAGTTACCAGAACCGCAAGCTACCAGTTGTGAGCACTAATTGCTAAAACGTCTGTAACCAGAAGTACCTGATTTCTGTGCAGTGTTTCATTAGGCTGTCGCACGGAGCATAAAGGAACAGGCACGATCCATAGCAGCACACATGTCTCTGTTTACATAATATTAAGAAGATACTTTCAAAATGCTAGTTAAATATTTAGTTAAAAATACAAATTAAAGCAGGGAGATGGAAAATGATCCCTGAATTATATCTAAGCTTTGATCTTTCAAATACAAAATTGAACTGAAAGGGCTTAAAATATCTGTTCTTTCATCGCCTGGGATAAAACTGGCTTATGATGTGAAAATTGGAAATATTTGTCTTATTTTGCTACCAGGTGTACGATCGAGATTTAACCTCTTCAGACTTCATGGGTTCGGCATTTGTAGCGCTCACTGAACTTGAACTCAATAGGTAATGTGTTTATTTAATTAAAGGTTATTAATGCAGCTTAATTGATTAACAGAGGGAAATAATGAAATGCTTTTGTTCTGCCTTGGAATTTGTCTATTCATGCAAACTTTTTTTTTCAGCTAGAAGTATGGGGAGCACATTTTAAGGGAAATCACTTGAGATAAATCTTTTACACACGTGTTTTCATCCGGCGTTACGTACCAGATTCAAATCCAACCTGGATGGCGCCCAGTTCTAGGGCTAACAATTTCTGTATGTGGCATTGTTTAGGGAGAGCTACACTAGAATAATTTATGGAGGTGGAAGAAGAAAGAGGGGGAGAAGGTTGAGACCTGTTCTTATCCCCACGTAGCACAGGGTGCCTTTCCCTGCACACCACTGGGCTGGGGAGCGGTTTTCCTGGCCGCTGCCAGCGCCCCGTTTCCAGCCTCCCCCCGCAGCCATCCATCCCTGCGGCAGCTGCATCTGGCCCTGATTTAGTGCCGAGGCAAGCCCTGTGCCTTTTGTCTGCTGCTGCTGCTGCTTGGTCTCAATGTGGAGCTGGAAGCCAGGAATTCAAGTTGTAGTTCTCTCTTTTATACTCCCTTGCTGTGCGACGACTTTTTTGGAGAAGATGAGTTCTCCCTGCACGGGTGTGTTGTAGGTCCTATGGCTGTTGTATCCGAATTTCTAGAAACATTAATGAGTTTATCCATGAGATAGTGCCACCAGGTAAATACCAGCATTCCTGTTTTTAGCAAGGGAACAGAGTCAGGGAGGGAGATTAAATGCAGGCAGAATAAATATCTCTGGAGTCAAAACCAACCACTAATATTAGAAAATTCACTTGGATGAGTTTCCCTGATACTCTTTCTGTAAAGTGAAGGTAGTAGTAGCTTAATTTGGTGTGTATCTACATATGGAGAGTTATGAGTAGTAAGCAGTGCTATAGAAACACTGCGCTGTGTTATTAAAAGAGGGGTGTATTTTGTAAGAACTCAGAAGGAACCCTCCAGATTTCCCATTTTAACATTTAAACTCAATATTGGGAATTTCAGACAAGAAGCTGAAATTTGCACAGCTCAACCTGACCTTTAATAATCAACTCGAGTTAACTGCAGTCAATAAATGCACGCTTTTTTTTTCTTTTTCTTTTTTTGCTTATAGAACTACTGAACAGATTTTAAAACTGGAAGATCCCAACAGTTTAGAAGATGACATGGGAGTGATTGTATTAGACTTGAGTCTAGCAGTCAAGCAAGGAGACTTCAAGAGAAATGTAAGTGGCTTAGGAAATCAAATTTATAGCTGGAATTTGTAGGGGAGAGAAAAGAAGACCTGGCATAATCTGATTTACTGGGAAATGCCACCTTTATTTTCATCCTCTGAGACTCAATATTGAAATCGAGGTAGATCATAACTTTAAAAAAAGCCCCATATTTATCTGGGTTAAAGTTGTGTAGACATTTGTAGCTGGATGCTTCTGTCTCAGTGCTGTGACATGCACTGTGACAGTGCTCTCCGTGTGCTGCAGTGTGTCCACCACTGCAATGGGCAGGTTGAAGAAAAGTTACTATATTTCTTTTTTTTTTTTTTTTTAACAACAGTGAAAAAATTTATCCACATGAAACCTAAAAGCTGAGCTTTGATGTTGAGACTTAAACTGCCCCAGTCCTGCAGAGGAGGACACTGCTTGTAAAAACCCTGAGTTCAGTTGAACTTGGCTCCTTATGCTAAAACATGGTGCATTTGGTGATGCAAGAAACCCATAACTGAAGCTGATAGGTTTTAAATTTGAGATCCTACATGTTTGGGTTTTTTTGCTTTTGTTTTATCTTTTAAGACTCCTGCTAGTGTTTTATACAGAGTGTGAAGCATACAGATGTTTGTGAACTAATCCTGCTCCTGGCGAGCAAGGGGTGGGGAAAAGCCAAGATCAGGCATTTACCTGAACTGTCTTAAAAAACAGAGCTGATTTTAAATATATATGTAATACATATGTTAAGAGAAAATACTCCTACAAGTTTGCTGCATAGTCTAATATGAAAGTTACTGTTTACAGCACATTATTGAATTATAGATATGGAACTCCAGCCTGAATGGGATTATTTATAGAGATGTAAATGTTTCAATGGGTTTGAAAGCAAAATCAGAAAAAGCTAGTGTGGGATATCTGCTATTCATTATTTATTTATTTATTCATTATTTATTTTTCAAATAGTTGCTTTCTTGAGAATTGTAAATTCTTAATTAATAATAAGATAATAATAGAGTTATTTAAACATCACTGTGTGATAATTTAAAGGCTTAATGACAATATTTTAAACACTGTTGTATTTATATATCTGTATTATGAGGTGGCTTTGATCTGGAATGTGAATTGCCCTCTAACTTCTACAAGAGAGCATTGCTGGCACATGGCACTGGGTTGCAGGAAGGGGTGAAGCAAAGACATAAAGTTACTATAGCAAAAAAAAAAAATGTAGCCAGAAGAACCTAAGGAATTCCTCTGTGATTTTTAGGAATACCTGGGCTAAATTGGACTTAACCATAGAAACAAAAAATATATTGGTTTAAACAGCAGCTTTTGGTACTCTTGGGTGCTTCGTTAACATTCAGAGTGCAGACGATAGATGAGCTGATGCACATTGTAATTTTTTTTTAAGGACAATGTTTTAAGCCCTCGTATTTCAAATGCAGATTTCTCAGCCATTTCCAGTGGAATCAGAAAAGTCAAATGGCTCTATCCATATTAGCACTTAACAAGAAGATGACTTTTTTTCCTTTTTAAATTAACTTACTGTAGAACCAGATGGCACCAAAAGTATAAGCCATGTTTCTTACTAATGGCTCTGGGTCCCTCCACTTTTTATTCTCAATTACTTTTTTTTTAATTTCCTCTTTATTTTGGTGCAGTGCAGGTATTGTGTGTTTGTTGATTGTTATGTTCCATGAGGGAGGGAAGGTAGATGGAAATGCAGTTGTAGATCCAGTCCCCTGTTTTGTAATAAGCTTTTCTAACTCATTTGACAAGCTGCTGTTTTAATTATTTTACTAAACACTTTCCCCATTTTACTCCTTCTCTGTTTCCTTTCCCTGGATTCTCTTTGATACAATAATGGGGACTCATGAACAGAGATGGTCAAGTCGGAAGAAGCGAACTTCATCCAAGGTAATCCATATTTTTTTCACTTAAAATAAAAGTCCCCTCTCAAAATCTGTGCCCTCCTCTGAAACAAAGAGGGTAAACAAAGGAAAACTGAAGTATAGGTGCAACCTGTCATAATGTGAGGGCTGTGATACCCTTTTGCTTTTTTGATTTTCTTTTCATTTTGATGACAAATTGCATCTGTTTTCTAATTGTTGGTGCTATGGTAATGTTTAGAGAATAAGATCCCATTCAGCAAAGAGCTGTAGAAAGAGAAAAAAATCTGTCTGTACTAAGGAAATGGGTGTAAATTCAACCAAAAACAATGAGCTGTGGAGGATTTGAGTAGTTAAGGACACCCAAAACGTGGCCGGTGGTTGGTACTGGATTTGAGTGTGGGTCTCCCGGATCCCAGTTTATCTTTTGGGTTGCCTCTCGTCACAGGAGGAATTTTGTTAGGCAGTATTTCTTCTAGTTGCCTCTGTGGGTTTTGAAATTCCTTTTGTTCTTGGGATGGAGACGGAGCAGGGAGTTTTCATTACCTCCATTGTAACAGGATTTCCAAGGTTTCCCACGTATCTACATAACTTGCTTCCCTCGGTCTCCTGTAGTATCTCTGCAGGCTTCCATTACTTTTATATTCCTTTATCATTTTTACATTAGATTTTGACTTGTTCAGGAAACAGACTGTGGCTTTTTGTTTGTTCTGTAAAGCTTTAATTTGCTATTGAGTAAATAATGATATAGAAACTGCAAGCCTCAGTATCCAGCTTGAGAGCTGTACAGTCTCACTTCCTGAAAAGCAGAATTTGGCTCTTATGAGAACACATGCATCTTGATATTTTTCCTGTATAACTATCGGTTTGTGCCTAAATAAATTGAATAATTAACCTCCTCTTGTTTTATTCATTACAACTGTGGTGTGCTGTGTAGAGAAGCCAACCATTTCAGGTATTGTGCCAGCAAGAATATTTTTGTCAATAGAAGTAGTGCAAAGTACAGCCCTTGGAGCCCTGATTCCAGGGATATTGCAGTGCTTGGAGCAGAGAGTTGCCAGAGCTCCCTGAATGCCATGTGATAGAAAGTGATGGAATAATTGAAGAACTCAGCACTTAGTTTTTAACTGGAACTCTGGAAATTACTGTGCCCTCATTCAGTCAGTGTCACTTGGTCTCCCTGTTTCTCACACAGCTGTCTTTGGACGCTGGTTGGCTTTGGGACCTGGGGAAGGGAGTCAGGTTTTTAAACTCTGGTCTTTTTTCTCCAGAATAGCCAAATTCTGTCTTGATTGCTGTCACTCGAAGTTTTTTTCTTCCTTGGTCATACGCAATATCTCATTGCATTTTGAATAATTTTTTTTTTTACATACGTGTTTTTGAATCTTTAGCTGTCAGTCTTCAGCTCTCAAGACTCTGGCTTGTCCCTTAACATCTTTGAAAATAAAATTAAGGAATGCTGAGGCGTGGTTCTGATTTGGGAGACATGAAAGTACTGTTTAAAAGGAAAAAAGCTTCAACTCTGTGCTCTGTTCTGTTCCAGTCACTAGAGGGTAGGAGAGCTTCAGCTCTTCCCAGGGAAGACACAGTTCATGCTCCAGTGTGATCTCTTAAGAAAACCTCTGTGACCATCCAAAGGCAGTAAAAAATATTTCCCAGCATGCACAGGAAAAATCTGACAAAGCAGTATTTCCTAGTTTATTGATTCTGCTACTGCACTAAAACACTAGTACTGTACATCAATAACCATCTTTAGTTAGGAAACTCTGGTCTGTGGAAGCAGTACTAGCAGTTTGTGGCAGAACATAAAGGCTAGGAAGAAAAATTGTGTGCATGGGGAATATAGGTGTCTAGGGAAAGCACAAGAGGTTATGGAAGAATAGCCAGAGAGTATGATGGGGTAGAAAACAATGTTGCTGGACGAGATAAAGATACAGGAATAAGGGAGGCCGGGGAAATGGAGAGAGCTCTGTAATGGATACACAAACTTGTCTCTTTTTTGGCTCCTGAGCTGACTCTGGTTGGGTGTTGCAGGAGAAAAACACAGTATACTTTCCATTTGAGCAGCTGAACTGAGACAGATCTAAATTTTATCTCTGCAAGTTTAGGCAAATGAAAGTTTTCTGTTTGAAATAGTTTTCATGGGATTTGGTTTTTTTTTTTGTGTGCTGAACTACAGCTGACCTGAATTGTAATATTTAGATTTTCTCCTTCTATAAATACAGGGAAAATGACTTATTTTAGGGATGGACAAATGAATATAACTTTCACAGCTGTTTTTTAATCTGTATTGCCTATATGAAAGAAATCTGATTATCCTCTAATTTGTCTATTTTATGTTATTTTAGTGCAGATTTAGCACATCAGTGTCCTAAATGAGTCTTTTCACATTAATCACAGGATTCTTGCTGACTTCCCAAATTCACCCCAAATGTTGATGGCATCAATACCTGTTGCAACTCCATGTCAGACTGGCAAAGAGGTTCATGTGGGCTCTTGTGGATATTGTGTACTCTTCATCTGTGTGTCCTCTGAGCTCCCTTGCTGTTTTAAGAAAAAGCTGCATTTCAGACAACAACAAAAACAGTTGTACAAGTAGTACAAGATGGCAGTACAAGATGTCCAGTCCAGCTCCAGTAGCCTCACGGTCTGCATATGTAATATGCAGGAAAGATTTTGGCAACTGAATATTGTCTTTTAAATCACTTTGGAGCAAGAACTGTTGAACTGGATGATTTAACTATCTGTTGATTACACAGTGTATATTTTTCACTTCTGCTAGAAGGGAATCATTGCATATTTGGGAGGACTCCCAAGACATGGGCATGACATCCAGATCCTTCATTTTTCATGGGAGCCAAGAACAGCACTGTCTTCTGTGGGAGCTTATCCCAAGAGCGCAACTTTCTTCTTTTCCTCATGAAGGGTGGCATTGAAAAGGAAAGAGGATACTATTAGGCAGTATTCATATATTCACTCATATCTATGTATTGGCAAGCTCTCCCCTCTTTTCTGTTTTCCTTTCTGGGGCTCAGAGGGAGTTAGTTGATCTCTCTGCTGGAGCCCAACATGCTGATGCTCAGTAGCCTTGTTTGTCCCGGGTGGCTTGAGTCTCACCCTGAGTGCCCAGCACGCTATTTCCAGCATTTGTACAGCTGAATAACCTTAAAGTGTTGAACATCCGTGAAGCAAATAAGCAGGTTTGCTTGGGGTGGATTGACCTGCAACAGTCCAGTCCTGAAACAAAAGCGACAGAATTGCCACCTTGATAGCCTAAGCTGATTGAATAAATTGGCTGAAAGGCTGACCGGACCCAAGTGCTCCTGAGCATCTCATCGCAGGGGAAAATCCCTCGCTCTCCTCTTTTTTTTTTTTTTTTTTTTTGGTGTGGGCTGTTAGGTTTCATTTTTGTCTGCCTCATTGTGTTTGGCTTTCTCCCACAATACCCTGTGGGCAGCCAAGCCCTCCAAGCGCTTCGTGGAGCGGAGGGACTCGGTTGCCACAGGGTCACGCGTCGTGGCGGCAATCTCGTGTTGGTTCACTTGCCTTTCTCGCTGCCCTCTCCTCTTTCCCAAGGGGAGATTGCCTCTGCAAAATGGTTTCTCTGCCTAATGAGGAGAGGTCCAAAGAGTCCTCCTATTTGTGTGTTGTTGTTTTCTCAAATGGCAAATTACGTGGCCCAGTTTTGACGTTGACCTCTTCACAGGGATTGCAGCAGGCTTTCTGTTGTCCTGTCTCATCCTTTTAAATGAAAGATGGGAGAGATGGGCTCACTTCACACTTGGCCACCTCGCCGTGTCATTTAAATGTACAATTTTTCTGCATCTCTTTATTGCTTCAAAAACAAGTTTGAACTTGGGGCATGTATGTGTGTGTCAGGAAAAGAGACAGATTTGAAAGCAGCCCTGATGTACCAGAGGGGATTTGCTGGGTGCCTGTGGAGGGAGATTATATACAAATGGAGTTATCAGGGAGATTGGAACTCCTAAAGGATTTTGTGAAGCTGGGTCAATGAGCCAGTTCTTTCCCCTCCAAAGCTCTGTCATTCTTGTTCATCTCCTGTATTTGGCTCTGTGAAGGCAGAATATGGCCCATCTGCTCATTCTTGTCCAGCTTTCTTTTTTAAACCAGAAAGTAATAAAAAATGGAAAGTTGATGTGAGAAACTCTTAAATTCCATTTAAGATGGTAATGTGAGCACTGATTTTTAATTTTTCTATTCAGAGATGTGGGATGTTTTCTGGGAAAATGCTCTTTCTAAGCAGTAGGGAGAAGAGCAATCTTCTGGTCCTCATGTGGCAGGGTCCTGCTTTATGACCAGGCCATACTTTTGCCTCAGAGAAGATTATTCATTACTTACCTGATGTTGCACAGTCCCTAAATCTGCAACAAACGTGGGCTCTTAGACTTCAAAAGATCTAGTTTGTTTTTAAGAATAAAGATCTCTGGATATTTTTGTTCTTACTGGGGTTTTTTTGGTTGTTTGTTTGTTTTCTGGCTGGCTTTTTTGAGGGATGCTTTTAGTTCCAGTTGTTATTCATTTTACAGCAGTGAACTGCTCATAAAGGTGACCTTTATGGTATTAGTGGTTATTTGCACATAGAGGCCAGCCCAAATCAGAGCACTATCTAGAGACAACCCCTCAAATTCTGGTCTCAAGGCTACCTTGATTTTAGAAGTGATGAGGGGAAGGAATAAGCAAGCTTGTCCAATGTTTTGTGCTTGGGATATGTGCCAACTTCCATCATAAAGCATGTGTTTACTGATTTCAAGCCCTATAGACTGATCCTAGCTTCAGCCAACTTTTCTGCACCTCTGTAATGCACCTTTACTTTGGTCTGGGATGTAGCCAGAGTGTGAGCAGGCTGAGTGCAGAGAGCTTACAGGAAAAAAGAGCAGGAGAGGCCTGAAGGACCTGGCACCCAGTCTGGGAGCACAGCTGGAAAGGGCTTGGGATCAGCAGCAGGAGGAACTGAAGCACCCAAGTGCGGAGGCGTCCGTAGCCTGGGAGGTAACAGGGAAAGGGAAGAGCTGAATAGATAAAACAGTTCAAAATTGCTTCTGATTAAGCAGTTATGTCCTTATTTTCTGGCCAGTATAGACAGGGGCTTTGACTTTTCTGGTCTCATTGTGAAGGCAGGTTAGGGTAGTGGGGGCTGGAGGGAGGGAGGGAGGGAGGGAGAGTGTTTGGGGTGTTTTTTTCAGTGCTTGTTTTGCACCTGAGTAACTTTGTTGGACTAATCACTGCACTCCTCTGTGCTCTGCTCTGCAATAGTTTTGCCAGCTCAGAGGGAGGCTATGAAGTATAATCAATTAACTCTGTGTAAATCAGTTTGAAATGAGTAGGTGTGGGGTATCAGAGAGGAGGTAAGACTTCTAAAATAAATAATGTAATATCATTTTCTTGTCACCTGGGAGAAATTTTCCATAGTGCAGACTTCCCTAGGCAGCACTAAAGTTGACTCATTGATGACCCAGGTCTGTGGGTCTACCACACATCTGAGTTTCCCCAGACCTGCTTCCTTCCAGAAACTGTGAGTGGAATCTGAGACACTGCCTGTTTCACTGGGATTTCCATCAGGGTGGTCAGAGGAACAGCCTGCCAAGTACCTGGGGAGGCTGGAGAGGTGGCCACAGAGCCTGCACAGAGGGGCTCTTTGGTGCATGTGTAGGTGCTACGAGGCACAGGAAATGTGCCAGACCTGCTGAGCAGACTCTGTGGGAGCAACCTGGGCATGTCCAGGAAATCCAGAGCATTCCTAATGTGATGTGTCTCGCAAGGGTGTAAGGCAAGCAGCCCCCAGGTGCTATGCTGTTCTCTCTTTGGAGAGAAATTTGTGCCAGTGGCAGGGCTGGCGTGGGGGGAGGTGGGAAGCAGACTGCAGTCCTGGAGCCTGTGTTGAGGTGCTGCAGGTCAGCACTGTGCCCTAAACCAGTTGCAAACATCTTGGCTTCACTATCCATTGGAATGCTCTCAAGTGATGCTAGATCTCCTCCAGGCCCTGTTAGCAGGAGACCAACACACCCCTGTTCTGAGCACAGAGAGCTTTACAGCTGCACAGCCATCTGAGAAAGGAGTGCACAAGGATGTTTGCTTGGGGCCACCTGTTTTGGAAGGTCAAGGTTGGTGCACTGTAATGTGTTCCAGTAATACTGAGTGCAGGTGCTGATTTTTCCTGTGACCGTGTGGAATCCAGGGTGGTTTGAGTACCTCCCAACAGTCCTTTGAACTGTCAAGCCACTGGCTACAAGGCTGGGGTTATGTGTGTTGCAGAACTGGGGTAGGAAGATCCCCAGTGCTGAGTGACTCCCTAAAATACTGGCCTGGATAAGAAAAAAGAAAGGAATCCAAGTTTGATTTGAAAACTGAGTGATAACAACTATCTTTTGTGTTCAGCCTGGATGCTTTGAAGAGAGATGGATGCTTTGTTTTTAAAAGAAATTGTAATGTGGATAATAAACTTTGTCTTTTTTTTTTTTTTTGTGAACTAACATCAAATATCTCTTCCTCCTCTGAGGAAGGAGCGGCAGGGAGGGAAAATCCTTGCTCCTAAAGCAGCAAGTACATCACATCAAACATGACTATGTTAAATACTAAAATGTTCAAAGTACAAGCGAGATAGATAAAGGCTTTGATGGGAAGTGGATATTTCCCAGGGACATTACAAGCAATAATCCAGATGTTATGGTGTAATGCAATGAGTGTCCATGGATAGATGGGGAGCTCAAGCCAAGCAGCGCCTGCTGTAGGCCTTAGCCCTCCACTCCCATGCTGTTACGCCATATGGAAGCAATCTCCAGGCCCCCTTAATAGCCAGCTTTGGATTCCATTTTCACAGGGCTCATAGAGCTAAGTGGAGCTGTTTTATGGACAAGTTAGATAGAAGCCTTTCCAAGATAAACATCCAATTCGAAATTAGGACATACCAAGCTGCAAAATTATTTTAGGGCATATTTCATGGAAGCACTGCCATTTTTCTAAGGCGATTGCCAGACTGTAGAGTGCCCTTTGATCCCTTGTGGACGTTACTCCCTTTTTTATAAAAAGGATTTTGAAATAGTTGCAGTGTTTAGGGAGGAATATATCTGCTGGGACTTTGAAGTATGTCCATGGGAACAGTCATGCTTTAGCTCTTTGGCCCAAAAGATGAACTTTAAAAAAAAAAAAGAGAGAAAAGAAATTACATTGCAGCTGGATTTATGAATCAAAATCTCGTTTTCTTTTTAAAGGTAGGAATTTTTACCCATTGCGCCAGGAAAGCCAAACGGGGTGTTTAAATAGAAGTATATTAATATGCTTGTGGGATTCAGAGTTTGGTATTTTAACCAGTAAAAAGTGAGTAAAAAATTTGTGAGTTCACCACCTATGATTTAAGAATTTTGTTGCCGGGTAATTGATCCATAAAAAGTAATCTTCAGACATCAGGTGCTTTTGCAATAGTTTTATTTAGCAACAACATTTCTTACTTGCTTTTAAAGCTAACACGTCCTGTTTTAAAGTGACTTGTGAAATCTTCTCCTCCGTCTTGCTCCCACCTGTATCTGACATGACTGAAGCTCCAAAGTGTGGCGAGTTAAAAGTTGCTTCACGAGAATAAAATATGGCAGGATTTTTACTGCGAGAAGAAAAGTATAGCCTTGAGTTTTAATGTTTCCAGCTCACTCCCCCCAAATAAAGGCCTATTTAATCATCCTCTGTCCAATAAAATATTGCCAGTTAGCAAACTGTTAGTGCAGCCGTGCTCTGTAAGATGAAGCTGCGAAGGTAACAAATGTGGCTACCAGGTAACCATAACTCCAGATAAAGAGCCTGGTGGTGTCAGTGTTTTTTCAGCAGGCATCAGTATTTTTGATTCGTGGGCTCAGTTTCTGGAAGCAGGAGCAGCAAAGGCAGCAGGCAAAGAGCTAACGCAGACGGCGGGCGGTTGAGTGATGGAGGAGGTGGAAGATGCGTGTTCAGCCTTTCACCTGGCCATAGGCTTTATGATCATGGGTTGTCTCCCCTGAAAGGACAGACCTGCGTTTTATGGATGTAGCTAGAGACATTTTTAGAGTTTACTTTAGTTTCTCCCCTGTTCCATCTCCCCATCACTCTCCTGTGTCTTTCCCTGAGCCAAGGTAACAGATTGCTCTCAACGCTCAAGGTCTGCTCTTGCCAGAGCTCAGCCAGGTTAGCTGAAGTCGACTTCCGTGGTGGTTTAAGGTAACCCTGCTGATTTTACTGTGGTGCTGAGCCCTATCCCTTTGCAAGGCCAGCCGGAGTACAGTCAGAAAATCCGTAGCATCCTACTGCCCTGTCTACTTACTCTTAGGGAAGCATGGTACCTCTCTTACTCCTGGTGATTTTATATCACATTTAACTTGAGCATAAAAATATGTTTGGGTCTGTAAACATTTTCTGTTGCTGACTTGCTTTTCAGTCGAGTTTCATGCGGAGCATGCGACTCTCCGAGTCTTTGCGCAAGAACCAGTTGTGGAACGGGCTGGTCACCATCACACTCTTGGAGGGGAAGAACATGCCTGGAGGGGGCTTGGCAGAGATTTTTATTCTCCTCAAACTGGGAGATCAAAGATACAAGAGCAAGGTAAGTATTAAGGATTTTCTTAAGTTTGCTGAAGCCAGTAAGGCACTTGGTGTTTTAGTGGTGTTGCTACCTCAGATGGAACTATTCTTGATACCCTTTTATATAAGTGAGATCAAAACCAGGAGAACAGATCAGAAACATTAGTGTTTTACTAATATGCTTTACATGCTGATAGAGAAAGAGGAAGTTAGGAATATTGTGTGTATCTATGTTTTGTGCTTTTAACATACTCATCATGGTGATGGATGTTTGACCTCAATATGAAATGAAGCTACACACACCACACATGTGTTTTGTTCTTTGCCAGTACAGAAGTTGGGTTTACAATGTTAGATCTGCTGGAAAAGCAGACATGAAATGGTTCCCAGCGCAGGGGAATTATTTTTTTTTCTTTTTTTAAAGCACCCTTCTTGAAAAATGTGTTACATATAGTGGGAGCCCCTCACCCCAAACAGACAGAATACTCCATGGTCTTGGTTTTAATTTTTATTATTCTAGGCTGTGTGAGCTTGTATCCAGTGCTGTTTAATGGGAATCTAAAAAATGAATGAGGTTCTCAAAGATATACATTTCACCTCCAGTGTCTAATAATGAGAGAGGCTGTAATTAAAATAATATTCTGTTGAGAAAGCAAGAGCTCTGCATGTCATGAACTGGAAGTGCAGAGGAGGAGGAAACAAACCTCCTCCTGTACAAAACGTACAGAGCAAGTTCACAGAACATAATGTTCGGATGTAGGCGCATCTGAAACCTGCACTCTGTCCCCCACATCAGACCTCAGACCAAGGTCAATGTTTTTTATTTGGAAAAGTAGTTTTGAAAAATAACAAATGAATTAGTTAGTTTAGAATAAATGCATGTTATTCCTGTTACGATCCCTTTTTGTGTTACTCTGTAATGGGCCATAGCCCATGTTGTGAATCTGCAAGGATGGGCTGTTTGCAGTCACAGAAAATTAAGATATTGAAAATGGGGAGTTAAGTACAGTGTTGCCTGTAGTGAGTTAATTACTTAAAATTTCCGTCTGAGGTCCAGCAAAAGTTGGGGGCCGGTTCCTTTACAGCCTAAGACTTCAAATTTGCAGTGCTTCATGTTCTTTCCTGGAGTTTATTTAAATTAAAAAGTACGATCTCTCGTGGTTCAGAAAAGCAGACAAGGTGGGAGAAATCTCAGTCATCGTCCAACTAATCCTATCTCCTGGTGACCATACTGATGTTGACAGTGGGCAGTGTAGTGTGACACGAGCTGCAAGTGATTTAAGTCCCAATCCAGTTAATACTTGGAGTAACCTGAACACATGAGCAGTCTCGCTGAACTCAGAGGCACAATTTACAGATATCAAATTAACTGGATATTAAAAATTCCAAATCTACTCCTTCTTTGCCTGTATCTTACACAAAAGGATAAAAAATACTGGGTTAGGTTCCTTAATTCATTCAAACCTGTTTCCAGGTGATTTTCCTCAAAAGGGTTATTCTTGATTTCTTCTGGTGTGTGATGCTGGATGATGTCCACAGTCCATGGGAAGTGGAGCTGGTGGGTCCATCCTGCATTTCAGAATTTCTCCAGCCATTCATTCACATCACAATTGCATATTTCTTATTGAGAGAGAGGAAAGAAAGTATTTAGGAAGATGAGACTCTCTGTGATGGGCTGGGGACCTTTGGTTGGAAAGACCTTAGTAACTGATGTTCTAACATCCAGCCTTGTTCTGTAGAAGAATTGCTATGTGCTTTACTGTGGAAATAAGTACTGTTTAAGAAAAGTAAATATTATAACTGCATGTTTTCTAGACACTGTGTAAGAGTGCAAATCCTCAGTGGAGGGAACAGTTTGATTTTCACTACTTCTCTGACAGGAAGGATATGTTGGACATTGAGGTCTGGAGAAAGGATAACAAAAAGCACGAGGAGCTTTTGGGAACGTAAGTTGGGTTTGGCTTAGATTTTTTTCGGGTGGGGTGGGGTAAGTATGAAAAATAATGTGATTTTTTTTTTTTTAACTGGTCAATTTATTTTTATTCCCAGCATCATAATGTATTTTTTTCTCCTTTTTGCGGTCATGTCCAGATTGTGTTTACATTATGTTTATTAAAATCTGTTAATGGGTAGTTGATTAGCCACAGCCTGAATGCAGAGACACTGAAGCTGCCTCTAAAACTCAAAATACTGTGGGAGCTCAGTGGCAGCTGTTTCTGGAGAGCCAGTGGCATCAAGGAGGCAGGATTTGTCTGTATTTGTATGGTGATATTACTCCAGATCCTGATGGTGACAGCCCAAGGATCTTTGTGCTCCTTTTGAGACACTGGTATCCCTTTTTTCTGTTTGCACTTTGATGTTGTGTTCTTGTAGTTCTTATAAACTAATGTTTACATATGGGTCTTGCTACCTGGGTTTGCTTTATTTGGGTAATCTCCCCCCCATTACCACAGAGGACTGATCTCTGTGGGTTTGGGGCTCCACACTCCTGCACGAGCTTATTTGGTTTAAAGCATCGTTTTTGGGGGGCAGCCTCAATGGTGATTTATCCATCCCCTGACTGCTACCAGATCTTGTCCCACTGCATTATTCCAGTACTTGTAGGGAGCCTATGAGAAAGATGGAGAGACTATTTATGGGAACATGTAGTGACAGGAAAAGGAGGAGTGGGTTCAAATTGACAGAGAGTAGGTTTAGATTAGATATTAGGAACAAATTTTTCTCTGTGACAGTTGTAAGGCACTGGAACAGGTTGCTCAGGGAAGCTGTGGGTGCCCCATCCCTGGAAGTGTCCAAGGCCAGGTTGGACAGGGCTTGGATCAACCTGGGAAGGTGTCCCTGCCCATGGTACTGTGTTGGAATGGGATGATCTTTAAGGCTCCTTCCAACCCAGACCATTCTGTGATTCTGTGATATCTTCAAATTCTCAAATACTGGTCTTATGCCACATTGGCAGATGAAACTTTTTGTGAGATAGCAGTCAACCTTTAATTTTGTAAAAGGAATAGAATACATTTTCTACTCTTACATCAGAACTTGATGATTCTTATGAGTCACTTCCAACTTGAGATCTTCTAGATTCTATAATCCCATTCCACTCTATCTCAGTTTACACAGTGCTGTTTTCCTACTAGTAACTCTACCTTCTTCCTTCTTTTGGCTTGCAGCATTGTCATGTTCCCCAAACTCCATCTGCACTCCATGCAGCAACATCAAGAACCATTTAGCTTCTGGAGCCCCTCTTGGGTCTGCCCATGCTTATCTGCTTGCAGGATCATTGCCACAACCTCTAAATTTCTTGGGGGCTGGGATCCTGCCTGCAGTTCTTTGCTGTTCTCACCTGGCCAGGGTTTCACAACTTGCTGACTAAATAACAGTAACAATAACTCATAAGAACATTCTCTTACTTTAAGCATGCAAATAGTTTGAAACTATTCACTGAGAAGAACAATGCCCTTTGGCTCTACAAATGTTTGTGGTTTTGCAGAGCAGGAAATGCTTTCTGGCTGACTGCTGTTGCTCATCACATGGAGAAGTGGCTGAAGATGAATCTGTTCCTTCCATTCTCACAGTTACTTCCATTACTTCTGATATTCTGTTTAGAGTTAAGAAATAAAGCAGTGGTTGCAGCTTGCCTCAGGTCAGTCTCCCTTATGCCAGAGAAATTCTTCTTTATGTTTTTCCCCTCTTTTTTATTTTTTTTCTACTGGTTTCTGGCAGGTGATGTTTAGTGTGGCAAAAACTGTCAGCAAAATGCTTATTCTGTTCGGTATTGGTGAAGTCTGTGTGGCAGATTTACCTTAAAGTAAAGGTAAATCTTCCAGGGTAAATCCCTGGAAGTGTTCAAGACCAGGTTGGATGGGGCCCTGAGCAATCTGGTCTAGAAGAAGGTGCCCCAGCCTGTGGCAGGGGGTTGGAACAAGATGATCTTTAAGATCCTTTCCAACCCAAACAATTCTATGATTCTATGTTGAAAGTTATTTTTGATGTCTGTGTGAAGAGAAAAATTTTGCTTTTCTTGTCTAGAGCATAGTAAATTTGCTGTAGCATCAAAACAGGAAAGAAAATATACTAGTTTTTTAAAAGCAATTGCAAGAATAGGTAAACACCAAATGCATAATAACAAGTCTTTTTTTGACTGTGTAGAAACTTTTGTCACCCAATAAATAATATTTTATGAAGGGTTCAAATACCATCTAATCTGGAAAAGGATTCTATTGGAAAAGCAGCATTATGAGGTGCCATGTTTATTGTCTCCATGATTTCCAAGTTGAGTTTTGAGATTTCTGGATTTCACAACATCATTGTAAGAAAGATTCTTTAGTAAAATATTTGTGGGTTATATTCAGTCATAGCACATGCCAGTACAGCCAACTACCCTCAAAAAATTTGCATGGTTTTAAGTAAAAGGCAAAATTTTCTGGATCTGAATTAATAATTTTGTGGTCAATTTGTGAATAGAGTTAGAATTCGTTATACTCCCCTCCAGCCTGTTCAGCCCAGAACTGTGTTGGTTAGACCTTTAAATATATGTATGTTTTTATTATTCAAATGAAGTTGGAGATGCTCAAAGTGGAGTCAAATCTGTTAATCCAGGCTGCAGAACTTTTGTGGCTTAAAGACTCCTATGAATTCCTTTAAACCCAGGATTTCATATAGGATGGATGCCTTACAACCCTGGAACAGGTCTCTTTTCCCAGGCATAATTTGGTTTCAAGGTAAAAATATTATTCCTGAAATAGGACCTGAAGTGTCTGTGGAGACTATGGAACATGTAGAATAAGGAATGCCTTGCACCTCTGGTGCTAAACACTAACACCTGGGATGTTTGTCTGCTGCTGAATTAGTGAGGAAACATTTCATGCCACTCTTCTATCACAAAACAAACCCTCACTGTCAGTGCACATCACAAGCTAAATTATTACATTCGACCTACCTGCAGTCTCCTTAGATTTTCAGCTGGGTCCAATTGCTCTTCCTTGCTTAAAATCCTGCAGCCTTGAGTGGTTCATCTGCAGGGTCTGACACTGAGGAGTGGCTGCATTTTGGTGCTGGATGAAATAATCCCTTTATTTAGTCTGCACAGGACTGTTAGTAACGTTTATTAAGTGCTTTTTGTGTCCTTTGGGATAAGAGGCATGCTATAAACAGGAGACGATGTTAATGTATATTAATAAACAAAGGTGTTAACGTGTGCAGAATTTGTCCGGGCAGAGTTAAATTGTTTATGCCAGGGTTTTAGAGAGTGTTTCTGCAGTAAGGGATATGTTTTAAAAAAAGAGATGCTGCGGAATGTTGAAGGGTTTTCCTTCACATATTTACCTCAAGAAGAGATTTTACAAAAAGTGCTAGACTTAAGACCATGAGCTCTGAAACTGGAGTGCATCCAATATCTTTTTGATGAATGCCTCCAGGAAACTGTCTTTGCAACAAGAAACAAGCCTTATTTAAAGGCCTTGATGTTGGGATGGAGCAGTGAAATCTACTATGACTGTATCCAAACCTTTAATTTAAATTTCACCAGGTTATAGGATGAATCAGACAACAAAAATTTATCTGTAGAATGAGTCAGAATAAGACCTTATTAATTGTCTCCCTGACACCTGTGGCATTTGAAATTCCTCTTCAAATATTAATCATAGATGCATCTTGCTGGACCCTGTGGTAATGATTCTGACCTCTTTTGTGAAGGATTTTCAAGAATTGTGCAGGGGCTAGTAAGAGGCTAAGCTCAGCACCTTTTAGTGAAATTTTAACATTTGATTCCCAAATGTACTGTGTAGTGTTCTCAAATAATATTTCTCTGCAAAATGAATAAAAAAGGGGGGGAAAGTAGCTACAGATGAGGGCTGTAAGTCAAAAGAATAGCTTTAAATGAAAACTAAAGCTGTGGTGTAATCCTCTACAGGACTAGGGGTTAATGTAGAGGTGCAGACCTCAATATTGATCAAGAGGAGGAAGGAAAGCATTTAATTAATCGTGGTTAAAAAAAAAAAAAGGTGCTACATTTGTGTGCACAATGCACTCAACTTACATAATTGCATCCCCTACAGATCTTACATACAACCACGTGTGTGAAAAATTATACCTGAATTTAATATGTAATGTAGCAAAAGATGACCACAAGCAGAGCTATTCTGTTCTGAAATAGGAGTACTGTGTTGAGAATTTAACTTGGGAGATCATTTGCATCACGTAAAATACAAATAATCTGAGAGTTTTGCCCTTTGCATTCAGATCAGACAACCTTTAAGCAAAAAGTAGATTACCTCCATTAGTTTTATTCTGTGCCCATCGTGATAGTCTCTTACCACTTTCCTCTGAAATAATTATCTGTAATAAGGTCTTGCAGATAGAAAGCTGAGAAAGAAGGAAAGGAATAGTTTCTGTTTCGGGAGGATGAGGGAAGTAGTTTGGAAATCATTAGACTCGTTTTAATAGTGTAGAGGCATTTGTGTGGAAACTGCTGAATTTATAGAGTAAATTGAGTGTCTAATTGTTTTACCAAGCTGCATTCTTTTCAGTCTGATCAATTATGTTGTATAACCTAAATGAAACAGTTTCTTTTTTTTTCTTAAGCCTTTTGCCATTTGCAAGTGCAAATGTGGATTTTCTTTTCAGTTCCTCACAAGAAAATACAGAGTGAATTTTGCTTTCTCTCACCTTGAGTGAACACAGATGTTTTAAGGAAGTTGGTTTGCACAGAAATCTGAATGATTTGAGGAAGAAATGCTTATACACCATCTCCTGCTGTTCTCCCCTCCACATGTGCATCCTTCCTACCCCCACATCCTTATACTCCATCTTTTCTTTGAACTTTGGCTATTCAAATTCTTTTACTAAGAGAAACAATTCCAATATGCCAAAACAAGCTAGAATTATATTTAACTTTGCCTTCGAGATATGAGAGATTTCTGAGGTTATCTATTGGTAGGAGATGCACCATTTTCTGAACAAGTTATCTTTTCTCTCTTACCCCATGGAAAGTTTTTAACATAAAAAATAATTGCAGCTTTTCCCAGTTGTGGACTGTGTTGAGTGGGTGGTGTATGAAATGCTGACGTGGGAGACATGGCCTCTGTTGCCAGCTGAACCACAGACCAGCTGGGAGACCTTGAGATTTCCCCTCTCCTTCCTTCAGTTTCTTCATCTGAAAAAAAAATAAAACTAAACTCCAAGCTAATGATACATTCCCCTTTTTGTACTGATACCCAAAGTATCAGTGAAACTGCTGTGATCTGAGGTGCAACGGTGTTAGTGCAGCCAAGGTGGTGTTGACCTCCAGTGGGGAAGTGATAAGGTCTTTTTCTCAAATAAAAATAAGGTCTTTTTCTCTCTCTTTGTTGTTGTTTTGTTTTCCTTTCTGCTGTAACTTTTCCTGTCATATCTTTCTGAGGAGTCTAGGCGTAGCAATGAGCTTAAAACGCAACCTCTCACACTTGGAAATGGTGTTGAGAGGCAGCCTACGCGCCGAGCCGTCTTGGTACTCTGCCTGGTTTATTTTCTTTCTCTTTCAGAGCACTTGAAAGCAGTTAATAAGAGTAAACTTGAAACCTGTTGTACATCCAATGCAGTGTACAGCAAAGAGCACACTTAAGGCAAAGTCATTCCTGTTGATTGTGGTCAGAGGAAGCTTAAAGAGTCATGTTTTAATACACGGTGCTACTGGATGACTTTCAAACTCATCAGAGCAATGGCTTTTACTTCATAACACTGTTTCTTGGGTTTTCAGGCTGAAATGTTTTGAGATTTTTTTTTTTTCACCCCCTTTAGCATTCACAGAAAATAGGCTGTTAAGAAGCGGAAAGCATGCAATTTATAGCAGATGGGTATAAACTGCTCCAGCTCTACTACTGGAATGGGATCAATCAGGAACACTACATGCACCATTTACCCAGAAGAAACCCACCTGGGGGAGCCCTGTGGAATTTTAGCCTATTAAGACAACACCTTAACAAGTTTAGTTTAAATAAAAACTTGTCGGCAGGCATTAAGCGGAGCAAAAGCTCTCGCTCTCCATCATCCACTCGCCGTCGCTTTGAGAAACGTGACTCCTCTTGCAGTGTGGCAACCAACTCCCTCTTTCCTAATTTTTTCTTTTTTTTTTTTTTCCTTTTTCATCTGTAACTTTTGTTCAGCCTGTCCTTAAAAGCCAGGCCCCACAGAGGTTCAAAAAAGTTCCACTCCATTTACTGGACTTCTAAATAGAAGGCATTTAGCCGAGCCAAGTGATTAGGCTTTTTGTTGCGTTTAACCGCTCCCTTCGTGTATAACTGGCTGCCTGGTGATCTCTCTGCTTTAGCCCATACTCATCTTCTATTATTGTCTCTTTATGAATGTTTTTCCTTTATCGTCCTTATTTTTATTTTTGGGGGAAGTATCAGGTTAATGATACATATTATGTGCAGGGAGTGGGTGGGGGAGGACTTTTAAGGCAATCCTTCCCTTTGGGAAATAGTACACTGGAAATGTAGCTCTAGTAAGGCTTGTAAAAGAGATTGGGGCATACAGTATAATGTAGCATAAAATGGAGAATGTGACTTTAAAGAAACTAATCTATTTTAGGCTAATGTTTTAAATTTTGTGTTTGCCCCTTTTCTTTTCCCCCAGGTGAAGTAAAATTGTGTTTCAAATCCATCACAAAACACTGGGGGATTTTAGAGGGGAAGTGAGGCAGGCCAGAGTTAAGTTTTCCTCCTGTACTTGCAGCCCATACCTCTTGCCTTTCCTTACCAGTAGACAGACCAGAAAGCAAAACTTGACAGTAAGTGAGACAGAAATTGGCTAATTTGTTTCCTAATTTTAATTTTGGGATTTTTTTTGCATTCTTTTCATCCTGAACAAACCATAAGTTTTGATGCCTGCTTGCTACTAAAATCAGTATAAATGTTGCTTCATAATTTTTTTCCCCCATCTCCTTTTTCTTGTTAACCCTTGGCAATGTTGTTCCAGGTGCCAGGTTGACATTACTGCCCTGCCCATGAAGCAGACCAATCGCCTAGAGCTGCCTCTGGAAAAACGTCCAGGGTCCCTGCTAATGCTGATTGCTGTTGCCCCATGTACAGGAGTATCTATCTCTGATCTGTGTGTCTGTCCTTTGGGAGACCCCAGCGAACGGCAACAGATTTCTCAGCGTTACGTGAGTTTGTGTTTATTTTTTGTTTGTTTTTTTTTTTTCTCTCCTTTAGTTTTGAAAGTAGCCAAAATCGCAGGAAAAGAATAAATTCTCCAGTCATAATAACACGTCTCCTACCAAATAAAACTATTATGTGGTAGAGTTATTACATTTAGAAAAACAAGGAGATGGGCAGAGCAGATAGACCCAAGCAATTTGGCTGTTTGTATTTGTTGAGTTTTAAACTAATGCTGTTCTTTGCAAATTTTAATTGTATTAAGAGATTATCATGCAGAATGAGACACTGAATATCATTAAGAGGTCATAATATACTTAGCTTCATTTCCTCCTTTGGGGAGGTTATTTTCTGGACTTTCAACTGTTGGAAGATAAAGCTATATGATGGCTTCCACGTCCTCAAAAGCTGGCCAAGAAGGAATAAGTGTATCTCAGTGTGCCAGGAGAGGTTCAGATTGGATATTAGGAAACATTTCTTCACCAAAATGGTTGTCAGGCATTGGAACAGGCTGCCCAGGGAAGTGGTTTAGTCATCAGTGCTGGAGGTATTTAGAAGATGTGTAGATGTGGTTTAGTGGTGGGCTTGGCAGTGCTGTGTTAATGGTTGGACTCAATGATCTCAGAGCTTATTTCCAACCTAATTGATTCTGTGATAAGTTATTTAGTAGTTCAATAGTTTCTGTTTCTTACTGAATTACAAACAAAATATATCTTTATACTTTCCTCCTAGCAGTGTATAAAGAATTCCTTTCGGGACATAAAGGACATTGGCTTCTTACAAGTCAAAGTTTTAAAGGCAGTGGACCTGTTGGCAGCAGATTTTTCAGGTATTTTGTTTCTGTTTTGCATCATATGATGTTATAATATACTGCAAGTGATTGTTAGATTTTGTGCAGTACTGTCGGTGGATCAAGGAAAACTAAATCTTCCCATCATTTCTCCAGCTGTGAAATCTGCCTTGGGGAACTGAGATACTGATTGGTTTTGAATGCCAAAAGTATGTGGGAAGGTCCAGTGGATGGAGGTCTTAATTTCCCTGAGCAATATGACAGATACCTTTACAACAGCACATCATGCTAAGTGTTTTTTCCAGCAGGAATATGTAAAATAAGTGTTAATATAAAGTGATGGTGCCTGCAAAGCACCTGCAAAGCAAAGCCTCTCCATCTTTTATCAGGTGTCTTGTGAGTTTGGAGCAAAACTGAAAGATTTTGGGAGTGTCTGATATGGTGCTGGATGTGTGGGTTTGGGTGATGCTGCAGGCTGTCACCTGAAAAAGAAAGCTTGTCAGCAATGGGGGTGTGAGTGTGATGGTTTCTCTCACAGCTTATATGAGGCATCAATTTGGAATGACCCTCGTGGTGCTCTTACTCCACAAAAAGGATGGATTTTCCACTGAGCTGTACCTCAACTTGTGACTGGTCCTGACAGCAATGGACACTAACACCTTTTAAAACCACAACTTTATATTGTCCCTCCAGGGAAGGTCTGGGGGATTGATACTTCTCTGTAGTGACTGCCTGGATACTATTATTTTTATTAGCAACTTCTCCAGGATTCTGGAGACCTTTTAATTCCCCTCTGTGTCTCGCAGCAGCTCATAATTCACAGACACAGCATTGTGTGTTGTGTATTTGCTGACATAGTCATTTTTTTAAGATAACTTGTTGATAAAGGCAGAAAAGATGCTAGAGAAAAAACACTTTTGTCCCATTCCCTCGTATTTGTGAAGGAATTGTTACATAAGAGAACGTTGCTCCTAAAATAAGGAGCAAAGCATAAAGCTTGCAATTAATCATGGTACTATGTCAGTGCTATTTTCAATTCACTACTTAATCCTGAAGTGGAAAAAGAAGGTTAGTGTAGAGAGCAGTACTTTGAGGAACTGAAGAACTTAATTTGAAAACAAACAGAAAACCTGCCAATAATGAAAGGAAACTTGCAAAGAAACCCATTTCTAAATTGACATAATGTGTATGTCCATATATTAGTAGTGTAACTGCACCTTACTGACTAATTTAATAAGTGTAGCACAGCAAAGCAGAACCTTTGGCACATGGCAAGGCTGAGGCTATCTACAAATATATGAGATTTTAATATAGCCAGTGTTCATGGAAAGAGCTGAGCCCGGAAGGTTATTTACCCTTTGGAAAACTTTGCTGATGCTAAAGCAGTTTCATCAGTGATGGATTTGGCCCCCTTTCCCTCAGTACTTAAACAGGAGCATGTGGGTGGATAATGAACATTGGAAGAGACACGCAGGTTCTTGATTCTGCAATTCAAAGACTTTTCATACGGAGTATGTGACACACATTCCTTGTGCATAGCACAGAATGAAATTCTGCTTAAGTAAAAGGTTACTCAGTCTGTCATTATATTCAAAATAACCCAGGCTTTGAGCCTGATTCATGAAGCAAATGACAAATTGTTTTTCAATGGCAGTGCTGAAAATATCCTAGTATTATGCTGTAATAGACCCACCAAATTGCAAAAGGATGCAGCCATTTTAGGTAAAAATAGCATAATTTCTGATCGTGAAATGAGAGACATAAAGATTAATTATCTGTTCTGAGCCATTCATAAATGATTAGTGCAGCAATTATGGGCTTCCATAATAGAGCCCTCCTAGAGCAGTGCCATATTTCCCGCACTGCCAAGGAGACTGCTCAGATTTATTGTTATTGATAAAAGTAAATTCAAAGTCCAGCTAAAAATCTGATAAAGGGAAAATGGCAGAGACAGTCAGAGGTACAAAGATTTCCAAGGGTTAATGGAGGAGCAGTGTGAGCAGTGTTCCCTCCCTGTCCTGTCCCATAATCTTATGTCCATGAACTTCTGCAGACCAGTCATGTGATGATGGGTGTAATGCCACCTTGTACCTTATTCCCATGGTAAAGATTGGATTTTGGTGTGATTGGGATTTCTGTTGTCAGTTGCTTGTATGTCAGCATTATAGATTTTAATTGCAAGTTTTCAGCCTGCTATAATAATAGCAATTAGAAAACACAGAGTATCTGCTTTGGTTTTGAGCAGTGTTTTGAAAATCCATATTTCACTGCTCATAAATGTCAGGCTACTTTCCACACAGCTGTATCATACATGCAGAAGCTCTTCAGCCACAGCTAGCCCAATTTGAGCCTTCCATACTTTTATGTTCTTGGATAATAGTTTTGTTGACGTGGAAATGACTTTTTCTGCTTTGTTGGATGTTTTCTGTGTACGCATGAGAGTTCTTCTCAAACACTGAATTTGCTCACTGACCAAAAAATAGCATTCAGAATACCAAATTATACAGTGGGATTGTTTTTGGCATATACCAGTTTGCATTTCAAGCAGTTTGAAAGGCTACATGCATTTTCCACACTTATCAGGGAATGGGCACATAAGCTGAAAAGGAGAAGACAAATAGATTCCAGTGATACACATGGTCTTTAAACTTTACCAGTATTGACTAGTTAATACTCACTGTTTACATAATGAAAAGATTCCTGTTTAGTTTTTAAACTTCTCAGAGTAAGACCCTTAAGAACTCTGCATTAATAATACTAAAAATAAGGATTAAGGAAAAGGCAGCTTTTGCTTAAATATCTTGTTTGTCTGCTGTCTAAATCCCTGCATTGCTGACATATTTAGTTGCCTACATAGAAGTTAGGCTGGGATGTCTGTGGCTGAGTTGTACATGAGCACTGGAGATGAGATTAAGTCAGATACTGAGCCAGACATGCTGATAAGGGGCACTGTGTTCATCATGGAAACTGCTGAGCTGCAATAAGTTGGGAAAGCTACAGATTCATGTAATGTGAGCTATCAAAAAATACATTAGCAAACGTGTCCTTACCATAATAGGTTCCATGTTGAGATCCTTCTTTTGAGAGGAGGTTGGGTTTTTTTGTTGTTTTGGGGGGGTTTGCTCTGTTTGTTTGCTGTAAGTGTGATACCTGGTTCATGCATGGATTCTCCACTTGATGTTGGGTTCTGTTTAAACTGTGGCACGGTGTGGAGTCTTCATAGCTTCAAGGACTTGTTCACATGGAACTAATTGAAGAAATGCTGCTGATTCAGTCGGTGTCTTGCTTTTTTTCTCATGGTGTGGATACTTAATCTTGTAATCAGCTGAAGGAGACCACAAGCCCTAAGGAGAGGATAAAACAGAGTGTAACTGCAGCGCTGATGATTCCCTGGCTCAGAATGATGGTACTGCTTTCATAATGTCATCTGAGTAATTGTCAGCATGAACAGATTTTTCTTGCTGTAAAGACTTAGAGATGATTCAGTTTAAGTCTCAGATTTCAGGTGTTAGAATGAAGCCCCCTGAATGAGTTACAAGGTAAGTGTTAGAGTTTCTGGAACTGAGGGTGAATCAGAGATACTGTTTATTTAGCAAGTCTTTCCAGCAGAAGGAGGCACTTTGCAGTTGTCTTAATGGCTCTAATTTTATTTGACCAATCACTTCCTCAACCCTACTGCAAAGAAAGACTCTGAATGCTAAATACCAGAACAGTTCCACATAATTTTTCTTCTCTCTCTCTCTTTTTTTTTTTTTTTTTTTTTTTTTACCTATCTGATCTTCTCCTAGGCAAAAGTGATCCTTTCTGTGTATTAGAGCTGGGAAACGACATGCTTCAAACACACACTGTTTACAAGAACCTCAATCCAGAGTGGAACAAAGTTTTCACATTGTAAGTGGATTGCTTTTGAAACCAGGCTGCAACTGCAGTTAGCAGCTTAACTAGAAAAGCTATTGACTTTGGGAAAATACAAAGGTCAAGTTTAAGATATGTCATTTTTTTCGCAGTCAGAGAGGATGTTGGAGAAATCTCAAATATAACTTAATTAAAGCCTTTTGCCTTTTACTAGTTCTTGCATGGAGTTTATTAATAGAAGTCATTAAAAGAAAAATTACTGTGATATTTATAGGAAGAATCATGAGTAGACATAATGGAGTCATAGCTGGATCCAAGAGATAATGTAGCAGAAAGTTGAGACCAGATACTCACGCCTACATTTTCTGTATATTAAAATAAAATATGTTTCATTGAACCTTGGTAGAATCCTTGTTGAATTTGAAGTAAGCAGAAAATTAGAGCTCATGTTGGTTTTGGTTAATCTTCTGAATTTAAACTGATCAAACACACTTCAGATTAGAAGCATAATTTTTTATGGAAATCGAAGTATTCTTTTTTCTTTTGGTGACTTTATTAATAACAAAAGTTATAATTCAGGTATTGCTTTAAATCAGCACAATTTTTTAATCTTACTTTCTGCTGACAAAGATTTTTGTGAATAAGTGAATGAGATATACATTTCCAAGACTGTTGCAGTTTGTGGAAGGAAAGCAACCACAAGGGCTGGCGATGGAGCATTTTTGACATTTGCATCTGTCCACTGGAAGAACAGTTTGAGAATGATGAACTTCTTGCAAAAGCAACATTCATAAATATTAGGCTGGATGAGAACACAGTAAAAAGTATCTGATTTGTTTCATAGAAATACCTTCTGTGTTTCTGTTTAATTCCTGGGTGCAGCTGAGAGATTGTCTCTTGGAGTCAGTTCTCTAACTTTGTTTTCAAGAAGCTTCCTCTCATCAGTGTTTTTTCTGAGATTGTGCCAGCAGATGAGTCTTGTTGGATGTTCAGCCAGCAAAATAAATCCAATAAGATTCCAAATTTATTTTATTAAAAAGGAAGGTTTGTGTCTATACTTCCTGTGGGTCTCAGGAATGTCATGTACAGACTATCTCTAACTTTCTTACTAATGTTGCATGGATAATCCAAGCACCAGAACTGCAGAGCTAGTGAGTCACTCCCATCTCTCCTTAGATTTTTGTCCATTTAAAAAAAAATGAATTAAACACCTTAAAAGCTATTGATATTTTAGATTTATTTTGGAGCAGTGTGAATTGTTTTGTGTGGTGAGTCCATTTCACCTGGAGCATTCAAAGCCACCAGAAAGCCTTTCCCATCATATTTAGACTTTCTGCAACACACTTATCTGTGTGTGTCACTGTGCAGTTTTAATGCAGTGAAACCAGGTTTTGAATTCATCCCTTGACCTCTCCCACTCACCAGCTTTCTCTGTTAGAGAGCTGAGTTTTACATTGATAGCATTGCCAATAAACACAGAAAATGTCACTGTCTGGTAGTGATTCCACTTAGTTATGGGACTGAAACATGAGGGGAAAGCTTGGGAAATACCCATAATTTGATTCATTTTGGGGGGAATTTAATTAAATTCTAGTTTTATACTCCAAGGTAATACAAACTTAATTAGTAAAACAGAATTCTCAGATCTTTGTGGAGGAAACTGTGTGCATGTACATTATTTTTTTGTGTGTCTGTACTTTTTTGTTGCAGCCCTATTAAAGATATTCATGATGTTCTGGAAGTGACAGTGTTTGATGAAGATGGAGATAAACCCCCTGATTTTCTTGGAAAAGTTGCCATCCCTTTGCTGTCTGTAAGTTACCTTTACCACATGTGTCATTCAAACATTGATGGATTTGCTGGGGACAAGTTGCATGTCTTTTTCCCGTGGCACAAAGCAACACAGTTTTAGAGATAAACAGGTTTTGTGATCTGTGCATGCCTTAGTTGGCAGTGTTTATAGTTCTCCTTAGTGTAACGAGCATTGTCAGCCCATTTTAGTACGAATTTGTTTGATTGGGAAGAAAATTGCAGAAATGTCTGTACTTCATCAGCACTGTAAGCCATGTAGGTCTGAAAACATAATTGAGTTGTTCTGTATGTTTCCACATCATCCTCTGAAGGTAACATTTTAAGCATGTCTTTGTTCCGTCTTGCTTCTTTTTACTCCATGGAAGTAATTGCACATCACAGTAGGATTGACTAGAGATAGCTGTTGTTATTGGCACAGCTGAATAAAATTACCTAAAAGGGGTGTTTTCCACTCCATAGTGCTTTTAAAGACTGGTGGCTTTTGTTCTGTAAACAAATATGTGAGGAGTGAGCGCTACCATGGGAGTATAAAATCAAAACTGGAAACAAAGAGAGCTCATGGGAAAGTGGTTACTCTGGAGATTAAGGAGAGTTGAAGCTTTTTTCAGAAACAGCCAAAAAAGGCCAGGCTAAAGAGAGTGGAACATGAAAGGGTCATTAAAAGACTTTAATAGAGAAACGGGGCGAAAGCAGCTTTGTGTTTGGTAAGACTGATTTAATTTTGAAACAAGGCTGGTAATAATAATAAGTAAACCAGATCAAGAGGATGTAAACAGCTCCATGTGTATGTGCAGTGTCACAGAAGATTCTGGTAGTTTTTACAGTAACATTTAGGAAGAACTTTCTATGCTGTTACTTATTAAATCAATTAGTAGACGAGGCTTGAAACATCATGGGACTCTTGTGTCATATTAGTCAAGTCGTGTAAACGCATTTAACTGTAGGCACGGGGGTTTCCACGAGTTTTGAGGCAGAGATGCTTTGCAGTAGGTTCCCTTTACAGAGGAGAGGATGTGACAGGTATTTGCACAGTGAGTACTGCGTTGAACCCTGTACAAACATTTGTGGTGGTGATTTGTTGTACAAACATCATGGTGTGGTTCTTGGGGTTGTCCTGTGCAGGGCCAGCAGTTGGACTCAGTGATCCTTACGGGTCCCTTTCAACTCAGGATATTCTGTGATGACATTTATGCTTGCAATATGTGTGTACCATGATTCCAGTGACACAGGCAGTGGTGAGATGCTTTCGGTAATGCACAGTGTGATGCTGTGGGTAATAATAGCACTCTCAAATAGGCAGATGGTGGATCCTGAGTGATACAGAGTACAAAATTGTTTTGAAACATCCCCGTGAAAGCATATTCACCCCTGCAGAAAGGCTGGCACACATCTTTTCAGGGTTAAGGCAAGAATTTGTCTTTGAGTTTTAGAGGTGGGCTGCTGTAGGAAAGGCAATGGCAGGTTAGTGGAGCTCTATCCTAGCAGAGACTGGAGAAATGGGAGATTTCTAGAGGGAAAGCAAAGGTCCCATCTGATCAAGGCAGGCCATATAAACCCGACAGCGCCAGCATAGTTTGGGTGAAGGACCTGTCAAGATCAGAGGGGGGAACTGCAAATATTTGATGTTTCCAAATAAATAATGAACTGCCCAGAAAACTCTTGAACTGACTTAGAGGATATGATCCCAACCTAAGGAATGCTTTATAGTGGTAAAGGAATAGGCCAATGTGCTCCAGCTTTGTTTTGATTTTGTCTAAATAAGTGTATTTCTTGTGTATGTGGATTAAAAGCAATGTAACTTCTGAATCTCTTCAAGAAAGTACGTTTGTCTCCATCCACCCTGTGCCCTTTAGAGTTCACACTGGAGTTTGAAATGGGAACCCCTGCAATTTGGGGATATAAAGAGCCTAAGCTATAGGAACTAGGCTGTAAATACTGAGCTGTTGATGCCCCACAGGCTGTTGTGTTCTTTGCAATGCTCTTCCCTCCGTTACTCAGATTGCAAGTTCTTTTTGGGGATATTTTAGCTTGTTCGTCTGTTTTAGTGGCTTGAGTTGTCAATATCTCCTATTTTAGAACAATATTAGAGTCAGTTGGGCATGGAGGATGATTTGATGTTTACAGGGAGGAAAAAACCTCTTAACATCTTTTATTCCATTTTTGATCGCTTTGTTAATTTTTCCCCAAGTCCTCGTATCTCTGATGTTACTGGAAGAGAGTGGCTGGAGCAGCTGCTCTCCTGCAGATCCAGTGCTTGCCAAATGGTCTGCATGATCGGCAGCAGGCTGTGTGGGCTCACAGTGAGAAGATGTTAGATTTGGATTTTCTGTTGATTTTATAGGCATTTGTCAAGTATCCCTTAGGAAGCATGTAACAAGGCAGAGGAGGGGAGTGCATGTGTGTGGTAATGTCCAAACTATTTGGTGTAGAGTTTTTTTGTCCAAGGTTTGAGACAAAAAAAATAAAATAAAAATTGTTTATGCTTTCCCTTGCCAACCGATCTTCTTCCTTCCCATCCAAACTTCTCTGCCTCCTATTTCAGTCAAATCTAGTATAAATATACTCATCTCTGCTTCTGATTAAAAACATTTTGCACCTATTAACTTGGTCTGCTCAGACAGAAAACTGTAATTTTCTAAGCTATTTTTCTTGAAATGGGAATTTCAATGTATGTTGTCATTTTGACTATAAGTTTGAATGTATCCTTTGAACCATTTAGATAAATATACTAAAAGAGAACAAAAGTTAAAGATGCCAGGAAGCCTCACAATCATGTAGGTTTAATTTCTCTAGGTAATCAGGCCTGACATTTGCCTGACATTAAATTGTCTTTTGAAAATAGATGTGCATTTGCCATTTTTTTTCTTGTTAAAATTGCAAAAGTTAGACTTGTGAGCTGTCAGCACGTGAAGTAAGTTTACTTCAGGAATTGTTCATGGATGACTAGATTTTTTTTCTTAATGAAAAATTGCCTTGAATAAAGTATATGTTGGAGGGATATGAAATGTTTAATTAATTTGACAACGAATTTTGGGCTAAATGTGTTCAGTAGTCCCACACTGACATTTTACAAACACAAGTACACCTTCATCATCGCATTAACGCCCAAATAATCTTATTGTACAAAACTTTAGGGATTATGAAATTATTTATGCTTTGGCTGTGATCAAGGCTTATGCAGGCACCAAATAAGAAAAATAGAAAGCTGGGCAGCGTGAGAAGAGTTTCAAGGTACCAAACGATGAATAAAGCTGCAAGCTTCACTTTCTTCTGATAGACATGATGAAGTAGCATTGGATAAATACACATTTTGGTAGCAATACACTGAATTTGGGGATAGAGAGAGAGAAGTTATTTGCATTTTAGCTTTAGCTTTTCCATGTCGATCAACCTATCTCAAACACAGCTCTGGTCAGCCACATTCACAGAAGCAGAATTTAAACTGGAAAAGACACAGATTAGTGTTGCCAGAGTATTCAGCAAAATGGATCACTGTCTTGTCAGAGGTGACCTGTAGACTCTGTCTTGCCTAACCTTTGGGCTGAGAGGGAGATTGCCATCTTGGAGCCTGGGGAGTGAAAGAGAAGACCATGTACATCACTGAACAGAGCAGGCTTTTGTGCTAGAAACTGAAGAAGAACCTGGGGAACAGAGAAGTAGGGCAAAAACTTTATTACTTCAAGAAAGAAGTTTGATAGGTTTAGAAGTTTTGTAGGTTCTGGGGGACTTGAACTAATTATCAAAGAAGTCCTTTCTATCTCTGTGTTCCTTTGTGTCCTAGATCTTAGTAAAAGCAACCGTGCGTCTCTTTGTGAGGGTCTGTCTTTTTTCTTTTGCTTCAAGAGACTCCCATCTCCTAGAAGGCTGCAAGTTATTAGAGACATGGGAGCATATAGTGTGCTTCAATGAATTTGAAAGCAGAGTATATAAAATATCCTCATGTAGAAAGACCTTTGAGTAAAGAGTTGTAGCGCAGAATGGAATGTTTTTTATCTGCTGGATTATCAGATCAGTGTAGTCCTCAGCTGCACCCTTTTTTCAGCAAACAGGAAGAGGTCTATGAAATATTTTCAAGTGCCAGTCAGGGTCAGTAGCCAATGATACACTGAAAACAAATAGTGTGCCTTTTGGAAGCTTAATTGTCTAAAACATGGCCTGGATTCAGAGAGCAGACACCCGATGACTGCAGTTACTGAGCACTTGACCAGAAGTACACAGTATTTTCTAGGAGAAAGTCTTAGAGTTTGAGAAAGTGAAATTGCTGTGTTTATGCAATAGAGGCAGCTGTGAAGTGTGTTGTATGTTCTGACTTTTATCCTGATCAAGGACCAGGATTTTTGGAATGGAGAAAATCCCCCCACATCTCTTCCAGAAAAAAAACAGCACCTTGTTTCTGAAATTAGATTCTCCTCTGACCATGCACTACTCACTGATATGGTATCCACAGGAATGTTTTCTCAAGGACCACCTAGGATCCTTATGCTCCCAGGGTTTTCAGCTCCTCCCCAGACTGGCTGGAAGCCCTCGTGTGGCTGCCTGCTTTCAGTCCATATCTGTTTGGTCTTTGGATAACAATCCTTTGCCAAGAACCCAAATCTCCATTCCACTTTGGATCCCATGGAAGGTTGTTAAAACTGACACATTTGGGGCAAAGAGTTCTGGGGTGAATGAGCAGGCATTTTGTACAGAATTGGTGCAACGTATATGGCAAACCTGGAGAGAAACAAAACATTGTTTTTTCATGTACAGGTGGATCACATATGTGGCTTGCTTTCCTCTTTTCCTGGGGAAATATGTCCTTTGATAAGGGTAGGTGTGTGCCTGTTACAAGACAGCTTTATGTTATGCAGGGCAAATGGGATGACATTGTGCATCAGCAATGAGCTCAAGCAGGAATATCAGAGGTCCCAAATGCTTTAGATGAATTACCCTTGGAGAGTAGCCATTACCCTTTCCACACGTCACGGGTGTTGATGTACAGAGGTTTAACCCAGCGTTCTTCTGTCAGGTCATCAATATATGACATTGAATCTGCATCAAAGCTGGATACAGAGTGAAGTTTTCTTAAAATCAATGTAAAAAAAAAAAACCACTAAACCATATTTCTTTGAGACAAGAGCAATGAAAAAACACGCTTTGCTGCGTAAGGGTCCTGTCTGCTCCGTGTTTTGTGTCATATCAATCTTGGCTTTTGCTATTTCATTAAAATTCCCAAGCGGTCAGAAGGTTGTTGCTTAATAGATTTAGCATTGGCTGGCTACATCAATACTGTGTTTAGTCACATTTGTTTTACTGGGGACATCTGTGTGAAGAGTTTAGCAAATATATTCATTCATTTGAAAGGAACCCGCTGCACTTTGGACCTTGACTGTGTGGTGGTCTTGGGTACCTGAACATTTCCTTCAGTTAGAGGCAACTTCTGGCAGTGTTTTGCCTGAAGTGCTTCTGTAGACCGAAATATTTATTGCAAAAACAATTTTAGATGTTCTTCCAACTGGTAATTTCCTTTGCATGGTCCTGTATGGAGAAGGGATGTGATATAGAATATACAATTTGTTCTGTGAAAATATGGACATTGCTTTGTCTTTCGGTGTTGACCCAGAAGAGGAAAATGTCCCAAGTATGAGAAATTCCCATGGGATGAAAATCCAGACTATTTTTTCTAAAGGTGACCTTACAAAATGTAGTATGTTGGTAGGGTAGGCACTACTGTCCTGAGGTTAATCCCAGGGTTAGGGCGGTCTTGGTTTGTGGTTGAGCCTCAGTATGCTGTATGATATTAAGAAGCTTCCAGAGGATGCAGGCATTAGTATTCAGTGAGGATATAAAGCATCATCAATAAAGGAATAATATCGATTATGTCTCTTTAAGGTGCTTACCTGCCGATATTTTCACATTTAATTTGAACAGTCCTTTCCTTCCCTTTCCCCTAAGTAGGTGTTAACATTCTTAGGAAGGATAACCTGTTTTAGACACAGCTATCAGAAATATTCATTGAGTCAAATCTGTGCGAGATCATCAGGTATGTAGCAAAAGATGTTCGGGTGATAGAAGAAATCTGATCTTTCTGACATTTGAGGTTCATCCTAGGACCCCAGCCCTGGCTGCTCACTTTTCCACTGCTGGAGAGAGTGTTTAAGTGGTCTTTGTGAATAGCAGAGATTGGGGAAAAAGTACCTAGAGAGGAGAAGGAAATAGATCCAGAGTGAAATTAATATGACTTGTCTTTCTCTCGAGGTTGAGGGAGAAGCTGAATAAAATCTGAACTCTGGCCCAAGAACAGCATGCAATGAAAATGTGGAGTATTTAAAGCTATTTTGCATGATTTCTTCTGGGCACAGTTGAGACATGCCACCGATCTAATCTCCATGCAGTCATGGGTGTTAGAATTACCCTGTACCTTTTGTTGAACCGCACTCCTTTAGCACATTGCCAAAAATATGAGAGAGTCTTTTGTTTGATTTCTTTTTCAGTGTTTTTTTCTTTTTATCCAAATGAAAATGCAATGGAGGCAGACCATTTCAGAGCCTGTCATTCTTTTCTCTTGTGCTTTTTTCTCTCTGAAGAAGGTCAAAAGCTAGGATATCTGTATGATTGTTTAGTCTTAGGCTGAGTTATAATTGCACATCTTTTTCCAGGCAATTCAAACACTTAGAATTAAATATGCCAAATGAAGCTGATTGTAAAACTGTATTTGCACTGCATTACTTTCTGCCCTGTTCAGTTTTAGAATAGTAGCAACAAAAATAATGGCACCATTAAAAAAGTTTCCCAAGAAACAAGGAACCACTTTTTCCAGATACAGACCAAGATGGAAGTTATTTGCTTCCGATTTAAAACTTACTGTTTTAAATCTGCAGACACACCTGCAGACACAACCAAAATGTTTGATTCAGCTCCAGCTCTTGAAATAGTCTTCCCAAAAGTCAGAAACATTTTTTGAGTGCAGAATACCACAGTATCAGACTCAGATACTCAGATACATTTATTTTCATTTTTCTATCAATTTAGTGGCATATGACTTCTTTTTCCTTGTGGTTTTGCTCTTGAAGATGTAAGAAATATATCCCAAGGAATATGAAATGAACTTCCCGCTAGTTGTTGCTCCTAGTTTAGCAGGATAAAATGTGATGAACATATGTGTAACTGAAATACAGGGAATTCAGCTCCCAATTATTAACTATGGAGAATCCAGAATTAGGATACTGTGATACATATTGGGCATCTACATCTCTGCAGACAATCTGGGAACACAGTTTTCTCTTGTTTCAGGAGAGTCCCTGAATCAAAGCTCAGGCTAAACCTGCTGCTGGGGCATCCTCTTAGACCAACAACCTCAAACCAAATCCTTCTGGCTTAGTGCCCTTACCATCAGTAAATCCATTTTTTGCTTAATTTGGGAAATTGAACAGAATATTCAATTTCAAAAAAGAAATTGTTTTCTTACAGTAACTTTTCAAATTAATTTTTTGCCCTTGTTCGAAGGGAGAGAAAAAAACCCTGGTGAAATAGCAGAAACCTTTATGATGGGTTAACAATGGTGTATGTGGCAGTTGCCCCAAGGACCTTCTGGTGCCAGTCTATTTGCCCCTAGAAGAGGGGCTAGTCTTTAAGCAGCATTTCTATTTTGGAGCTGCAGATCTGCAGAATAGTTTTTTTACCTGCCCCTTTCCTGGGAGCTGCATCATCCTTTGATACCAGGTCTAACCTTGTGCTCTTGTGGTGAAATAAATTCCACGTAGGTCTCCGTAACTGGTAAAGCTTCGGATGATAAAATAGAAAAAGGCTGGAATTCCTGGTCATAGAGTGCGGAGGATGCAAAGTTGGTCCTTGTGAGAACCCTCTTCCCTTTCAGTCCTTAGCCAGAAAACCCATCTACCCTTTGAACTGTTTAGTATAGAAAGGGTGGAGCAACGTTGGGAAAGAAAGTGCCCTTTCCCTTGTCTTGTGAAATCACTTGGTTCCTATTATACCTTCTTTTTTTTTTTTTACCTTGCTTGTTTCTGCCATGGTTTATATGAGTGCCTCTTCTAAATGCCAGAGCAGCAATAGCCGTTTTAAATATGGTTGCAATTTCATGCCCCCAAATTTCCTCTGTTATCTTTAATCTTTGATCATTACAGTCCCTCAATGTTGCTTTTTGGTAAGCTGCAGTTTTTTATGTTACTGCTGTTTAGAATTAACTGGTCTGCTTCCTAAAAAGCCAAATGTTTAATCAATACATATCCTACTGTGTATAATAAATACATTTCTGCCATCACTTTTTGAAGAGAGAATGCTTTTGATTTGAGCCAAATAGTTTACAAAATGGTGAGGGAGGTTTTTTCCGTTGGTTGTTTTTTTTTTTAATAGATGTTTAATGAGATAGGGCCAACCGGTGGATTAGAGCATAGAAATGGTATTGAAATTCAAGGTGGGGTGGGGGAGAAGTCTCTTACACTAATTAGTTAATTTTGAACATTTGTTACATTAGCATTTGCTCTACTTCAGCTGATTCATTTCTTTGGATTGCGTTTGTTTGCTGGGTAATAATTTGACAACGTTGCAATAAACTAAGCATTAAGAAGTGGTTTCGTGTACTGGAGTGTGCAATAGGTAGGTAAAGTTGTTGTTTGTGGCTCTTTTCCTGAACTTTGGGAAAAAAAATCCCATTTTAAACCTGTAATAACGGAGGCTGATTACTTCCCATCAACTGACTGGCTTCCAGGGCAGAATTTTCAGACTGGTTATTGCGTGCACTGCTCTACTATAAAGTACAAGGTCTGTAAATTAAAGTTGGACCATAAGAGATTTAATCTGCAATTTTATAGGTCTCTAATCCAACAGTCGTTTTGTATTTCAGGCTCCAAGTATATTATCAGGGTTTGGGGAAGGTTGTTTTTTTTTTTTTTTGTGCGTGTGCTTGAGTTATATTTATTTATTTGTTTGCAGTGTCTTTAAATTATATTGTGAATTACAGCCAGGAAAATATTGATGCTTTTTCTTCTCCCCTCCACCCCAAACTATAGATTAGAAACGGTAAACAAAGTTGTTACACACTGAAGAATAAAGACTTGGAACGTGCTTCAAAAGGAGTAATTTACTTGGAGCTGGATGTCCTATTTAATCCTGTAAGTTGAAGTATTTTCTCTCTGCTTATCTCTGGTGTAAGAAAAGTGCGAACCTACAAGGACGAGGGTGGGGGGTGATGCTTTACAAACCAGGATCCAAGCAGGAAAAGTCCTGACCTGATTGCATCTGGTGGTAGAGCGATGTTTGATGTTGTGGGTGAGGAAATATTGGACTGTCAGAGCTGTGGCCCCTCCAGGTGGATGGGACAAAGCAGGTGCAGTTTTGGTTTGACAAATAACCACAAGTGCCTTGGGAAGGAGGTGCCGATTGCTGTGGCCAGGGCTTCAATTGCAATAGCCAAAAAGGCGCTTAATGTTCATCTTATTATACATTAATTTTAACACCTACTTCTTCCCCAAAAAGCTGACCCAGGATATTCTCTTCCCAGGGTGTTGACAGGAAAATTAATGAGGCATGGATGCAGTGTGCTTAGTTTTTAGGTGGCTGAGTCAGTCTCAATCGTTTACACCCTACAGCCTTTTACCGAGTTTAACTCCTATTTATTAAGGCCATCATGGGCTGTGCCACAGCTTTACTTTTGCTGAAATGAGTCCAACCTTGCCCAGTTTAACTCAGCTGCATTTTTCTTGGCACAGAATGGTTTGGGTTTGAAGGGACCTTAAAGGTCATCTGATTCCAACCACCCTGCCCTAGTCAGGGATACCTTCCACTAGACCAGGTTGCTCTGAGCCCTGTCCATTGAATATTTCCAGAGATGGGGCATCCACCACCTCTCTGGGCCACCTGTGTCAGTGCCTCACCATCCTCATTGTAGAAAAGATGTCTAAAAAGCAACTCTTAAACCACACAGAGGCTGAAAAGAGTGATATTGAAATTCCTAATCTTCCTGAACAGCACTAATGATATGAAACTAAAATAACACATTGAAAACTGCATGATTTTATTTTTATAATTTTCTTTTCTATTTCTTTTTTTTTTTTTTTTTTTTTTTAGATAAAAGCAAGTATTAGAACATTCAAGCCCCGAGAAAAGCGCTTCACTCAGGAAAACCGCAAATTTTCTAAAAAGGTGAATATTGTGTCTGGGCTGAGCTTTTGCATCTGTTTTGGAAAGATTTGAATTGCTGTAGCACAGTGGCAAGAACAAAACCTACTTATGCATAAAATGCTGAACACATGTAAATTGAGTGTATTTCTGTATATATTAAAAGGTTTGTTTGTGTTAACATGAAATTGCTTTCTGATCTAGCTTGCATCAGTAGTTCTGCTTTGTGCTTCTGAGTGGTAAAAATGATAGCTGTGAATTTTGCACAGTTCGCAGCGCTTAAAGCTCAACGAAAGCCTTATTCCCTCCTTTGGGAAGGAAGAAGCCAGGGCTAAATTCCTTATGTAAAAAGCCCTTAGGATTTTAGAACAATGGCCATTATTCTTTTTAAAATGAAGGTGTCCTGTAATAAGTCCCTATTTGTTTCTATGGACTAGTCCAAAACATGTAGAAAAGAGGTTCAGACTACATTCGCTCTGGCCCTTTTCCTGAGGCATTCATATATTTTGAGAATCAAATGAGGATAAAGGTAGGTTTGTGTAACTGTTTTATTTAGTTTTGGCATCAAGACAGGCCTTTTTTCTTTTTTTTCTTTTTAAGGGCTGAGGAAAATCTGGAAGGTTTGGATGTAATCAGAAAGCAGACAGGAGCTGGAGAATGTATCTGAAATAGAGGCTTTATTTGTAATATGTGCCCTGGCGTGCATTTGTAGCTTAAATTATCCCTGTTTCTGAAGCAATAGTAGAATATTAGTGTGTTTGATTAAACTCCTCTTCTCCTCCCTTCCTCCCACTCAATATTTATCAGATCTTATCAAGAAATGTTGATCGTGTGAAAAAAATCACCATGGCAATATGGAATACAATACAATTCCTTTGGAGCTGCTTTCTCTGGGAGTCCACGGTAAAGAGCTTGATAGCATTTGTGGTAAGTGGATTTCTTCTTTTATTGCATGAGGCTAAGTGATATAAGATCTCGAGTGTTACCGTGCCTTCCTCTCCACCAGCGTAAAGCCCTTTATCGTTTGCTGTTATTGGTGTTTTATAGCTCTGTGGCTGCAGGGCTGTGGGTTTCAAGGCAGCTTGGGCCACACTGGGCCTGATGGGGACGGAAATTAGACCTTCAGGAGTAGCCTTTCTTCGCTTGGAGCAGAGGTATTCACCACCTGCACTGAGCACTGGGGATGCCCATGTCCGTGGTGGGTGATGCCACCATGTAATGGCTGTAACTGTCTGGTGACTCTGGAATTTTTAATTGTTTTTAATTTAAGACATGGCCACTTGGTGGTAGGAAAGAAAGGAAGTGGCGACCAAGAGGGTGTTGTAGGGAGATACCTTTGGTCTGAGTGAAACAGTGAGCTGATGGGTCTTGTTCATTCCGTCTTCCATTGCACTTCACTGCAGGTTATCAATTCCTGCTATGCCTGTGTTGACATTGCCTGTTGCAGATTTATTCTCTTGACTGTAATAATACATTGTTTAAAAGAAAAAAAAAAAAAGGGAAAAGGAAAAGGCTGGTCAGTGAATTCTGCTACACACTGCAAACAAAAAAACAAGTTCTCTACCTGCCTGTCCTGCTTTTCATCTCTCTCCTTTTTCCTCTTGGTAGTAAACACCCCATTTGCAGTTTTCTCATAATCCACTCAAGCACAAAAAGGTTTTACCTGCTCTTTATTCTGCGGTGTGACATTTTCTTCATGCTTGAAATGTTTGGCATGCCATTAAAGGTTGCAGAATCATTTTGTGGTGGTCCAGCATGCAGAAAGAAAGTTTTTGAGTTGAGTCTTTATTAAGCAATATAACAGTCACATCTCCAAGACTTTCTCCCGCTTTTACTGTCTGTGAATTGTAAGATGCTTAAAGGCTTTTTTAAAGAAAACACTTCAGTGTATTTACCAGAGATGAGTAAAGTAGACCATTCCTGATTAAAGCTCCAGAGTGAAGATAGAGGAGCTGTCTTCATCCTTAGGTCAGAGAGATGGCTGACACATAGGAGTAGGTAGAATGAGAGGGTCTTTTCTCTGTAAGTTTTTGTCTTTCTGTTGCTTGTAGTTAATTTAGATCATATTATATTTATTACATAATATATATATTATATATATACTATATATGGTTAACAGCTTGAGAGCTGGTGGAGAGCAGAGTAGTTGGTATCTCACCGAAGTCTGTGTGGCTGTGCAAGGGAGTTCTGTGATTGTGCCCAAGGGAATCAAGGTCATACACACTGGGACTGGAAAAGGAGTATCCTGTGTAAAATCCCAGAGTCACTGTCCTACCATCAGTATACAGCAAGAATCTAAGCACATATTTAAAAGGTTTGCTCTTAAGAGATTTTACACCAAACTACTTGTGAAGTTACAGCTGTGAAGTTTGGTTTTCCAGACCTAGGAAAAATTTGGAGGGGGTGAAGAGGCAGAAAAATAAGAAGGTGAGAAAGTGGGTCTGCAGAAAAAGGAATTTATTCCTAGTGGAAAGGAGGATGAGCAGGTTACAAATTACAGACTATTAACATCTTTACTGGATACCATAATACTCCCGGTTTCCTGAAAGAAAGTGGGTAATGGGAAAGGAATAAAAATACTCAACTCTAAGAATAATTACCACAGGCTTCTTCTACAACCCAAAATTTAAGTCTATCTGATTTTTCTCACATGGAAATAATTCAGCTCTGGCACTTAAAATGAAATGCTAATTATATATCTCTCTCTCTCTCACTATTTCCAGCGTGAGTGTTCATAGTATTGAAAATACGCACACAGCGTGGTAGGTGCAGCATCCCTCCCTGCCTCAGTCTCTATGGAAAATCCACTCTTAACATGTTGGTTAAAAGATGAGGTGAGGAAGATGCACAAAGCTTCTCTACCCATTTTTCAACTGGGTTCATAAAACCCTCACTGGTAGCTTCAGTGCCAGTCAGGCCCTCAAACCATAAAATGTCTTTTTAGAAAAGTGCTTTTCCTTACAGATGTTGTCCCTTGGGCCACTGGCAATAACTGTTTTGATCATGTTCTGCATTTCCATATATCTTCTCAGAGATAATCCCAGATACTGGGTGGTCCTTAAAACCCCCCTCTCCTCTTGTATTGCTCTCTCTTTCCCTCTACAGGTAGTCCACACCCATTCCTCCAAGGGGGAATAAAGGGAGGGAGGAGGAGGAAGACAAGCAGACAGTGTAATCATGGGAGCCCTGTTTTTAAGGCAATCAGACAAAAAAACACTGCCAGACAGACGAAAATATTTGTGAGCTCATCAGAGGACGGCAATAGGCAAGGACACAGTATCTTACACCTTCCTGGTTTAGTCTTCATTACACTGCCCCTCCCTCCCCATTAGTGTGACAGCTCATGTGTGTGACAAGGACATCAGCTGCTACTTCTGGGTGTGCAAGAGAAAAAGAGATGGGTAAAGAGGGAAGAAACAGAGGACAGCACAGGCAGGACATGAGTGAATAGAAAAATGCTATCACTATATTTTCTCATTTATAAGATCCATCATCCCAAGCTAAATTTCTTATTAGTTTGTAATGGTGAGAGGAGACAATCCAAGAACATGTGAGTAGATTAATTTTTTTGTGCTATAAAAATGAAATCATATTATTCATTAGCATGTTCTGCTTTTAATCCAATGATTTTTCATCTGAGTTAATTGTATAGGCACAGAGGGCACTGATGGGCTCTGCTCAGGGACATGTAAAATCAGAATTTTTTCAGATTTAGAGATTTTGGAAAGAGAGTTGAAAGGGAGGTGAGGTGAAAAACAGAATTTCCTTTTCAGTCATGTTTGCTCTGTGCACAAAGGGTTTGGTGCAAATTGTGTTACACAAATTCTAGAAAAAGCATCCTTGGTCAGAGAAAAGAGTCACACACAGGTTTTCTGTGTTCTTCGAAGTGTACCTCTTATTGTTGGTCTGGTGTAAAAAAATTGGACACAAGTGGCTGGGAATATCAGGAATATTCCCACATGTGAAAAGTGCTTCCTATAGAGTTAACAGTGTTCATATACTAAGGAATACCTTTAAATACATTTTCTGTGTACTCTTCTTCATTAATTCAGGATTGGGGGAGAATTTGTAGATTTTTAAAACCAAAGACACCTTCAAACATTCTATTCTGTTTAATTATGATATAGTGATCTCTGTATTCAACCCAATATGTTGTGTTTTGATTGAAAAACACCTCTCAAAAAGGTCTTTCTTTGAAGAGACCCAGATACATAGTCCAGAAAATCCCTGCATGGCCCTTCTTGTGTGCCTGACATATTTCATATCCTACCTTGGACAATTTTCTACCAGTTTCCAATGTGAATGTTGTAGTTTTAGCCTGGTCCTCATCACTCCTTCCTCATCACACTTTTCTCCATTGGGACATCACTTCCATGCAGGGTTACTGGTGTCCAAAAAGCTGGAGCTGCATGGTCAAATGTGCCTGTGGGAATGTCTGCTCACAAATCATTTTATATGTCTGTGTGATTATAAACTCTTTGTTTTCCCCACTTACACATATGAAAACTCGTGTTCTTACCCTTCTGATGCACACTTAAACCAAATTTTTGAACCTTCCTTCTACATAAAAACACTCTCTGCCTGCTCTGCTCCCCCATCTCCTCTGGTCATGGAAGTGAAGTCTATATTAACCAAATCATTCTTACTGTACTCAATGTATTATCTTAAAAATATTTTAAAAGTTAATTTTAGTCACAGAATGATTTTCATGAGGAATTATGCATCATTGCACATTGTGCTTGTGATTTTATACAACATAATTACACCTTCTATTGACAGTTTTCTCTGCATTAATGGTAATTATGCCATTTAATGAAATTACAGTAATTGCATTAAAAAATATAATCTGGTGTGAATTAAAAGGATATATTGACTGGAATTTTTACTATAATGTATATTTTTTTTAAACCTTGCATGATAGTTGGAAGAGACATTGACAGGATCAGGCAAACGATGGGAAACCAGGCACCAAAGCACCTCTGGTGTGACTGGCAGTGCTTGCTGCTGAATTCCTTCAGGGTCCCTGCACACTCACCCATGCCAGAATACTTCATTTTTACTGGCAGCATTTCCCACTATATCAGGTTTAGGCTTCTCTCTAATCAAGGCTGCTGCCAGGGTGGGTACAGGTGGGAGCTGTTTTTCCAGCTCAGCCCTCGCTGGCAGCCTGGGCCAGCCAGACAAGGACTGCATCAGGCACAGGCAGTATTTGTTTATTTAGCAGTGACATTGCAGTGTGTCTGCTAATTATTTTATGATGGCTTAGTACAGGGAGGAAGGGAAGGAATATGTGGTGATGCAGCATGACATGTTATAAATGTGGAGTTTTTGGTCAAACTCACTGCAGTTATGTAATGGTGGGCAGCTGGAATCATTTTGGAGCACTCTGGGCTGCCCAAAAAGCCAGCTGATGCGAGAGTAGGGAGGCTCTGGGGGTTTGGGATGCCCAGCAGAGCTGCTGGGGGTTGTGAATGCAGCAGCAAACCCAAATGTAAGCTTTTGTGCTCCTTGCTGCAGAGGTGAGATTTTGAGATTTTGGTACCATTCTCTGTTGAGATCTCCAAAACTTTTTAAATCTAGAGAGAGCTCAAGGATGCCCTGTTTTTTCTTTTTTTTTTTTTTTTGCACTGACCCCTTGGGCTGTGGGAACTTGGAAGTCTGAGGAGTCACAGGGCTGGGTGAGGCTGCAGGTATGTGCAGTGCTGTGCCAGTTTGCTTCAGGCCTAATCTGGGGTAGTAGCAGAGAGATAGGTCAGGCTCTGCAGCCCATGAACTTCTGGGCATCTCTGCTGAGTGTGCCATTGAACACGCTGCCACTTCAGCTCGTGATGTGGGAGCTGGATCTGAGCCCACCTAAACTCATCTCATAGAGAAGACACCAATCATCTTATTAGGTATGAACAGTTTTTGATCCCTGTCGAGCTGGG